TAAGCTATCAATTTCAGTGATACAACATTCAACTTGAGATCAAAGGTCAGCATGCTTTTTATTAATAGTACTAAGCCAGTAAATGCTTGCCATAGTAAATTGGAACAATTGATGCTAATGATATTAACGTATAAAATAAAAATGAGATATTAAATTTTATTTATGTGTAAGTTAAAGTCAAAGATTATTTTCTTATGATTATTGAGTTTGCTACTACCGGTATAAATACAAATATTAGGTGCACCATTTTAATCTTTATTGTTCCATTGATTTATCTCTTCTGTTTACGCGCTTCCTTAATTCATCGAAGTTTATTTCGGAATACGTAGGATTCATGTGTGTCATTTTTTCAGCAGTTTTGCGCCATTTTTCTTGTCGAAAATCACTTATAATTAGCACTTAACAAACTTCTGTAATTTCGAGTGTTTAGGAGTACAAATATTGCATTCCAAAACACTCGAAATTGCAGGAGTTTCTTATTTAAACAATTTATCAAGTTTGTGAATAAAGAAGACTGCAAAAAACAGTAATGGAGTATTAGTTAAAGAAGACAATAAAAACAATAATGGAGTATTATAGTAAAGGAGAAAAGATCGATTATATATTGTAAAAATTTTTGAATGTCGTTCCATATTTCATTGAGATTCACATTTTGTTTCTTGGTCGACTTTTCAAAATTCGTTTTTAAGCCAATTTCTCAAGGAAAATTACCGTTTGTTTTGCAACTAAAATCAAATGATAACTCAGTTTTTATCTTCTAAAACAACTGCTCTTGTGTGTTGTATGCTTTGTGTTAATTGTAACTAATTAAAGGGTAGGTTCTGATCTTCGTTTCCTTCCTTTCTTGCTGAATAATTTTTTAGTTGTAGAATTAGATGCTAAAAGTTAAGCTCTTTCTTCGTAGGAAAATTTTGTTTAATTGGAATTAGGAATTATACACCATATGAAAATTTAGTATTTTGACATTGAATAAAGCTATCGTTAATCAAAGGAGGAAGAAAGGAAGAAGCCACTCATTCGAATTATTTTATTTGTATTGAAGATTTACCGGATTATAATCAAGAAGCATATCCACTTCGACTAGTCAATGATGTTATAATGAAGATAGGAAGAGAGAAGTACTAGAACTCGAGCAGGTCGCATTTGCTCAAATTTCATTTACAACCTGACAGTTACTCCTTTAGCAAATTTTCTGTGGTAAAACAAGTTCTCCCAGTAGCTTCAAACTTACAATATGAATTGAAGGAAATATTGAAAAAGGAGTAGAGACCGATTTTTATATAATAGATGTTTCGATGTTCTGTTTCGTCTCTTGGAAGTTGTTGTTCACAACAACTTTTGTCGGAAACGCTTTTTTTATTAAGACATTACACTTTGATGCTTGCGCTTTTGTGTTTTCTCAAATTTGCCACATACTTTATTTGAAAAAAGGGACGAAAAAGAAGAGCAGAGATTTTGTAATGATGATATTAATTATAATGATCATGATGACACTAAGAGTGGTAATGATAATGAATATGGTGATGGCAATGGTAGTGATTATTGTAATGATGAAGGAGTTGATAAAAATAATGTAAAAGGATGATTATAATTCGATATTGCTAGTTTCTTTAATGTCGGAAAATATGTGTCGGAGAAAATACTTTGAAAAGGGACCTGATTATATTAAAATTTTGATTATTTATGTGAGATTAAACAAATTCAAAAAGCCTGAATTTATATACTTTTCGCTTAAAATTTACGATTATAGTTGTGTAAGGAGAATTTGGAATCATTGAAAGTTGTGGTTATAAAATTGGTTGTAACATTGACTTTTGCAGATCCCTTCATGAAGTGAGGCTATAATTATAGTAGTGATTATTAAAATGTGTTGGGTACAGAAGACATAGTTTATTATTGAGTTGAACTAAGTTGTTTATCTTTTGATTAGAAGATCATAAGATATGCCGATAAGTAGTTTACGCCAGGTTGACAACTCGTAGCTTCTGGTGTTAGACAGAAGCTCAAAATAGCGTTCAAGGAACAAGGACTAGAGTATGCGAACAAACATAAGTGGACACAGAAACAGATATTTTGGATTATCTCAGGCAAAATGGCTTAGTTTTATGGTTATGGTAATATGTGAATGAAGCTATCTATTCGTTTGAAGTCACTAATGAATGCTTCATTTGTCATACAGTTTGTGATAAATTGTCGGTACATATAAATTTATCACTGATTGTAGACTACCTTCTCCCTTTTTTCTCTGTTCTTAAATTGTTAGCTTGCATTTGAGAATTAGTTTTTGCTGAATGAGCGAATTTCAAGTTTTTTTCTGTTTTACCTTGTCATATTGATAACATCAACTGAAGGGTCAATAAACGACTTGCAACTGTTATATTATCTAACTTTTATTGTCGATGATACATGAATACTCATCGGCATCAATTTGTTTAATTTAAATTTCATTATTTTTCTTCTCTTTAGATAATTAGATCCTTTCTATTAAGGAATTCTTTTTTGGGAAAATTTTTGTATATATTACATATTAGAGGAAAAAGGAACATAAGTGGTTCCAGATAATTTTGCAGTATTGTTTTCAATTCACGACAGTATTTTCGTGTTTTCGATAGATTTTTATGACTTAACGGAAGAAAAAATTTCGACAAGTCGGTGTAATTCGAGCGTTTTTATACTAAAGGAAGAGAAAGACGGCAAAAAAGTTGTGAAAATAGGAGAGAGTTGCAAATAACGGGGTGAACAAGCGAAAGAGAAGACGCTAGGAAACAAGGTGATCGGAGAAAGTTGAATGCTAGAACAGGATATGGAACGAACGAGTTCAGAGGGAATAGAATTTTTTTGAGATGAATCGGATTAGAAGGTGTTGAAAATGAGTGATATTAATGGCTGCTGTTTTAATAGACCAGTATAAAGTGATAGGTGAAATGAAAGGAGAGAAAATAACACGAGATGTAAATAAGAAAAAATTCTTGTGCCGGATGAAAAATAGTGAAATTTGGAAGTGCAAATTTCCTGTTTATGTAAATGAAAAATTGTCCATTTCGGGTGGTTCGGCAGAAGCGGTATATAGGAGCATGTTTTGAAAGATTTTGAAAGAAAAAAAATGAATAAATTTTCTCAATTTGTCACTTCTCCAGTAAGGATAGTTGGAGGAAGAGAAAGTTAAGGGATGGAAAAACCCTACTGAATCGAGAAGATGCAAGAGACGAAACGATTTGACACCTTTTTTACTTCTTCACATATCTCCTTAAATTCATTCTTTTGGGCATCGTTTCCTTTTGGGTAGTTTTTTTCCTTTTTTTTTGTAATTTTTCATCCGTTGAAATTATTAATGAGCAAAGGAAAAGGTGAGCTTTTTTCTCTCAAAAATTTTCCAATGAAATAACGTTGAAAGAACAACCATAATGAAATGTTAAAGATGAAACGAGCGAACGAATGTGATAGTAGATTAATGATAGAATTATTGCCAGTTTTTCTAACACGAAATTTGGAGCTAATTAACTTTCATTTTGACAGAAAAAAACGCAACTAATTTATAATCCTTTTGCAAGGAAAAAGTATCTTTACTCAACTAAGCTAACTAATTCTCTGTGATAAAATTAATGTATTTCAAATTTTATGCAATAATATTACTTTACCTTCTTTAACAAGATGTGGTAATGGTATATCCGTCCACCATCCGTTGATCATTCATTGCTTGAGTTTATTGATATGTTAGTTACGCGTCGTATTCATGTTATCTGAAAGTTTTTCATTGATTTGTTTTATGCAAGAAGCTGGGAAAAATGTATATCAGAGAATTTTTTGCGTATAGGTAAATATGTGATTTATCGTGGATATTTGGTATTATGATGTACTAAGCCAAATTTATGGGTCACTCATAATGATGTAAGCGCGTGTGAAATTCCGATCAGCAGTGCTAGAGATAGAATAATTCCGTATAACATTTGAAGGTTGGATGGTTATCGGTGATCTCATTTTGCTCTGCAAGTGCTTTAGAAAATCAAGAAAAACTTGTACCTCAATGTTTGCATGAAAATGAGGAAGGGATTGTTTTGTAACTGATGAAGTACCACTGCTAATAGGAAAATGCGTTGGGAACTGAGAAATTGCTACTACAAATATTGAATTATTTTCTTCACTCTTTTTATGCCGGGAATTTGTTATTTGGCAGTAAATACAAAGTTTAATTTTTTTCTTTTTACTTTTCTGCTTTAACAAAATAGCAACTCATTAAGGTAAGATAAATAAGGATGAAGTAAGAGAACTAACTGTCGTCATTTTGTGATCGTTTCCTTTCACATTTGTTTTTGGTGGTACTATTTCTTTTCCCTTTTTTGTTTTTTCTTTTTATGATGACAGTATATAGTGATGATAATAGTGATAACAATACTTGGGAAAAAATGCGTTATTGATCCATGCAGATTGCTAATTTATTTGAAAGTTATTCATTTAACTTTCACTGATAACTCTGATTATAGATATCATCATTATCACCATCATTAACACGGCATTTTAAATTAACATTGTCTGTTTGATTATCATTATCTTTATAATTAGTTTTATCATTTCTATCTGTAATCCACATCTCTAAGAAGCAATCTAATATCGCTTAAGAAATCGGGAAGGGATGATATTGAAGTTGGGAAATTTTTCATTCCATCATTGTCTCATAGTTGCTGTATCCTTGATGATATCTAAGAATCGAAAATTGCTTTTTACATTTTTAAAACATTTCATTTCAGCCTTTTTTCTCTTTTATTCATTTTATTTTATTCCATCTTACTTGGCTTTTTCGTTCGGATAGTACATTATTGAAGAGGGTTAAAATTTGATAGAAAATGATAACACTTCTTGTTATAGTTACTGGACGAGCTTATTTCATATTCCGCGCTATATCGAGTTTTGCAAGATTTGCTTTTCTCTTATCATAGTTCAAAGATTTAAAAGATAGGGATGCAAAACCGAATAAGTTAGTAATAGCAAAGTTAGAGTATTTAATGCGGGAGTTGGTATCAGCCGTTGGGGAAGTCAAGAGTCAGAAGTTTTCGACACCGTAAATGAAGAAATTAAAAACCAAATGGAAATTTTCTGTGCAACAAATTTCATGTTTTCTTGATTTATTTCTTTCATCAGATTTAAGAAATGAATAGATTTTTTTAATTCATTAAATTTCTATGTATAGATTGTTATATACTTCAAAAAGTCGATCTTGCTATTTTTAACGTAAACGGTTCATTTTTTCAAAGATTCATTTTTTTTCAGATTTCATTGTTTCATTTTTTTTCATCGTTCTGCTTTTCAAACTTTGTTTTTGTTCCAGTTATGCGGAAGTGAAGTTGGTCGTAAAACATTACGCATCAAAGGTATCTACGCATTGTTACGGGAATTTGATCGCGCTTCGTCGGCTTCGGTATCATTATTGAAGAAAAACTCGTTGAGAGAATTAACGGTGACACCGGTTAATGAGTATGACATCACAAATAACCATTCCCAATCTGAAATGTACGATCGACAAAATTTGCAAGTTGGATCAGCACTTCATAATATCCAGGAAAGGACTACAGGCGCTACTAACATGCAGAGTACAAAATTTCCAGGTGAAACCGGAAATTTAATATATATAGATGGACAAAATTGTTCGATTTTACATGCACTAATTGGTTTGCTTATTCAGGATTAAAACTTTAAATCCATATGTGTAAGAAAATGCAGGGGAGAAAATAATTGTGGTTCAAGTTTTTTCGAGTTTCCTTCTTTTAAAATATGAGACAGGACCCAATTAGAGCATCGAATTCTTCATTTTTAGTCATCTCTGGAGTATTGAATATTGTTCCAATGCCTTATACAAGGCTGTTAAAATTGCTAGGTACCATGGAGATCTGCACTTATTGATTTCGACTTTTTCCAAATGGTATACGAAAGTGCAAAAATAGAATAGGTCAGTTTAAGGTTAAATGATGTTTTATAAAAAAAATAAAGATAAAGCTTTATTTTTCTTGGTCTGATTTCCAAATTCCATGCTTTCTTTGAAGTGCTGAATTATTTCTCAATTTTGCGTAGTAAACAACAAATTGTTGGTAAAATGTATATTTCTTGAATGTTATTTAAATGTTATGTAGATTATTTAACTAATTATTTTAACGGTAAAATATTTGGACGAAATACTTCAACCTGTTAGTAGCAATACTCAGTCTCAAAATTGAGCAGTTTAATTTAGTTTGAATAATTTGAATTGCATTGAGCTTGTGTTAAACCTATTTTGCTTCATGTCCAATTAATCTCGTTCCTTTCGTTCCTCCTTTTTTCCCATTTTCAGTCCATGAAGTATTCGTGGCAAGAATGATTAGATGATATGACATCCTTCTACAACGAATTATCGATCACAAATTTTGTCTAAATAGTTCGTTATCATTACCACAAACTTCCCATATAACTAAGATATTGATGACATCAGAAGTAAATTATTATATCATCCGAAGCTACAATTTTTCTGGTATATATGCTGAAATTTCGAAATTCAAATTAAGAAAAAAATTTTATTCTTGCTTTCCTCCCCTTAAAAAATGATATGCCATGTTGACATTTTAACATCGATTATCTTTCACTTACGGCATCCGATTCGACGACTATCTTCACCATATGGTGTTAAAACTTGTTGTCATACCAGAAATATGTCGCAATTCAGATCTAATTCGGTCGTGCCAATCTACCAGCAGTGTGTTACATTTTGACAGGAGTGTTATGTCAATAAAATTAAGTTTGTTAATGATGACTAATGAGTCGGACTAATATACAACAAGCAAGCCATTGTTTATTCATTACATATAAAACAGATCAGATAGTTATTTGTCGCTTAGTTAAAGGGTTAGTAAAAATTCTAATCATGTAATCAGCAGCAACAAAAAACAGCGTAACAGCAAAGGCAATAATAACAGTTATGTAAAGATATTTATACATACTATAATCAAAATATTAGTTTTATTTGCACTGTACATAATGGTACTTGATTTTCTATTCCTTTTTTTATTAAATTTGAAACAATATAATTATACTGAAATCTTAATTTGTATAATTATCTGACATAAATGGCCGGTACCATACTATTTCCTTTTCTTAATGAAATACGATGTTAATACATATATATACAGACTTTAATGAACCAAAATTATTTTATAAAGTAATTAAATATTTGGAAATTGAGATATTAAAAAAAATGAAAGGAACGCTCAGAAAAATTACTCGGTTTATTTTGCATTATTATGTATGGTATAAATATGCTAATCTCGCGGTTTTGTTCTATTTCTTTTACCGAAGTATAAATAATTTTTATAAAATTATATTTTAATAATGAATAATCAAATAACGAAATTTGATAGTATCGAATTATGCAATATTTGTTATTATAATTAAATTAGACATAAGAAAGAAAACAATGTATCATTCATTTTCTTAATAATTAGCCAGAGCTGGCTGTTAGCAATTATATTGCATAATTTAAGTATTGGTGACAGTTTCTCGCATGTTTGCATAGATATATCGATGTGTTTATCCGTGTTCTGTATAATATAAACATATTTGCAAAACAATTTGGTGTTTACGTGGAAAAAAATCATTGTATATATGAGAATGTTGAAATTTTGCAGTATCAAAAAAAGAAAATAATGGTAAAAAAAGTAAAAAACCTCATATTTAACATAAATATGGATTAATTTTAAGTTTAAATTAGAATGAAAAATAAATTTAATATATTAATAAAAAGTTAAGCAAAATAAAAGAAAAACAAAATATATTACCAACCATCAATGGATCATACCAATACTTTGCAACTAAATCAAAAACCAAATAATAAAAACATTTCAAAATAAATATCGATTTTCCATTAATCTATCAAATCCGGCAATTCATTACGTATTTAATTAGTATATTTATTTAAGTATAAATATAATCATACTAATTAAAAACCTTATCCTTAAATTGAATACGCTTTAATTATTTTCATCACATTATTTGTTCACGAAAGAAGAGGAAAGTACATGATCGAATCAGCTGATATCAAATAATAAATGATTGGATTCTTTCTTTCATAAATACTATTCATTGCCTATCTTTAGACTATAACTATGATAATACGTCCTGAAAATCTATTGTAATACATTATCGTACGCTTAAAAATGATGTGATACCAAGTATCATTAAGATATTACTGTGATGAATAATACTACCGTATGCGTAAATTATCTGCGCACATTATACCCATTCGATTAATGTTAGCTTTCTTAGCAATTTCATACAACTTTGCAGAAATCTGAGCACAAAGTACATTCCTACAAACAACACGTTCAGTTCAGTTTAAACTGTTTGTATTCATATTTATATTCACTTCACATAAAAAAATTACGGAACAATGGATGCTCCTATTGTTAGTGTTCATCATATCACGCACCTTATCTATAATTTGCATAAACTAAGCCTAAAACAGGCATATTATAAAGTGAAACTCCATAAGATATTTGCATCATTTAACATTAGTTATGTTAAAGTTATCTTAACATTAGTTATTAATTATGTTTGATGTGTAACTGTGTAGAAATTTGGTTGAAGTATGTAGCAACAACAAAAATATCCAACAAATTATCTCGTCTTACGTCCGTTACGCTTCTTTGCAGCAACAACGATCACGTACCTTAATGAGCTCTTTCTTATTTCCTTATTATTATAATATAAGGAGCAAATTCCACTATTTTTTCACTAACCTCAGATTGAAGCAAATAATATAATACCGTATCCCATAAAAATTACTATCGAATACACTAAATCTATTCATTTTACTATTCAAGATGATATATGCGATGTGATAAGCGCATTTCTCATATAAAGGTTGCATTGAAAGGTACATTGCGCCATTTTTTGCTAATAAACCTAATTTTACATATATATTTAATTATTTAGAATGTAAATTTGACACTTTTGATTTTTGTATTTTTTTCACATGAAAAGATAGGGAATGAAAAAACTGATAACATTTATAAGCGATGAACCAGTTAGGTAGCAATAGGAAAATAGAGAAATCATCTGGAGTGGAAGATGAAGAAAGGGATGAATTCCCGGTTCCTCCCTTCATAATGATAATATTGATGATGGTGGTAGTGGTGGCGATGGTAGTAGAATGATGGTGGCAATGGTGGTAGTGGTAGTGGCGGTCGTGATGATGTGGTAATGGAAAATGGGATGGGTTAAAACGGTACCGCCCAAGAACATTAGCAGTAGCAGTAGCAGTAGTAGCAGCAGCAGTTCATTTTATCTCAGGGTGGGTTTTTCTATCTTTAGCCGTTCCACTCCCACCTCTCCCCGCTGTCCCTTCTATGCAATTCCGCCTTCCAAAACCCCCGTCCCCTGCCTCCTATCAAATTCCCCTTCCCTTTTTCTACCTTTTCATTTCCATCTTGTATAGGTACTTCCCACTCCACCCCTTCAAATAATGAAGCAACCAATAAGATGCAAAATTCATCGAATTGCCCACCTAAATGCTACCATTCACAGAACAAATTTTAGTATACATACACACACATACATACATACATACATATACATACACATACACACACACAAATACATACATACATCCAGAGAGCAGTAAACACAACTTCCAAAGGTGTCAATTTCGTCAGTTGTCCTTGCTACTGCTCCCATCGAAAAGCTGTCCGTCCGTGTGTTATCCAAATGTGTCCATCTGTCCACTACCAGCAAACCACAATTAACATCGCCCATCCTTATCATCATCTTTATCAACATCATTATCATCACTAACAATAACCGATATTCGATAACACTGTACTATATTCAAAGATATGTACGTGTATGTGGCTGTCGGTGTGTATAAGATGTCCGCATGCATGTGTATGTGAATGTCTGTAAGCGGTTATATCTGTTGAAATCTTTCAAATATTCCAATTATCAAACTTTTGTTTTTTTGTATCATTTCAATTTGATATATTAAATTAGGATATCATCAATACAGTTTGGTATCAACGATACGGTATTTCATATTATTTTTGAAACGTTTAATTTATCCCATTTATGCATTTATATAGGCAGGCAGGCATTCGTTTCGCTCCAATTATTTATTGAAAAATCATACAGTTCAAAAAAGAGTTACGTTTCTGCATATTATCGGATGGTACCGATTGGTTGCTTTATGGTACTGCCAACAATTGCATTTATTTGCTAATTAATTACTGCGATTGAATATTTCATCGAAAAAAAAGGAAAGGAAAGAAAAATCGTATTATTATTACTGTGCTAGCAGTATTTACTAAACAAGACCGATACGACTGCTGTAATAGCTACTACTTCAAGCAATGTGCTAATATTATCCTCTTACCGTATGCACATGGCATTTAATCCATTTTTGGCAAGGCCAGAATTGGCCTTGCTACCACCTTACCTTCAACCACCACCATTTCCATCTTTGCCTGGTCCAACGGGTTTTTTCCCTCGATTACCAACTGAAATAACCGAATTTGCGCCATCATTACCATCAACAGGTACACAAATTGCGGATGATGACGGTGTAGTTGATGATCCAAAAGTAGAATTAGATGACAAAAATCTCTGGGATCAATTCTGTAATTGTGGTACCGAAATGGTCATCACTAAAAGTGGAAGGTGCAGACTTCTTCTTCTGCAATCAAAAATAATTTTTCTTCTAAATTTCAAAACAATTATTATCTCGTTCAAAATTTGAAAATATTTTATACTAAAATCAGTAAGAATTTTTTAAATTTCAATTTCACAGTACTTTTTTAAGTTGACGTCAGAAATAAGCTAACATTGTAAACTTTTTAATTTTTAATTTTGCATGTGTCGGTGGAAAAATTCTCTTATTTGGATAGTAACAGCTTAACTTCATTTATTATGCCAATATGTTAACTAATCATCGATCGTTTGCCAAGGTAACCAAATCATTAGCATTAATTTCCCTGACATTCTTGTCTCTCTCTATTTTTGCATCCCTCATATATCACTTCTAAGCACATTTACCGTATTCTCATCAATCTTAACTTAAAACTTACATATGTTTATTTTACTTTGACCCCCAATGACGTCATCTATTTTAAAAAATTTTATTCTTCTTTTTTCCTTCTCTAATCATTCAATTCCGGAATACGCCGAACATATTTCACTTCCGGGTATCGTAGTAGCTTCAGATTTCAAACTTTGGCTAGGATAAAATATTGCCACCATTGTTTGATAGTTATTCAATATTTTATCATCATTACCATCTACCTTCAGCCAGTGTAACCATTTTCTTGTTAATCTACAACTATATCAATTTGTTGCTACAAGGTTTATAATGCATATGATTAGCATAATTATCGACAGTTGACCAGTAGGACAGATCCATTGTTTATGACAGTTATTTCTTCATCATTTTTTTTGCTTTAAATGCGCTAATATCTCATAACTTTCAAAGAAAATTTTATGTCAAAATAAAAAATTTTGATAACCAATCTGCTGTTATTGATAAAGCCGAATTGAAAAGGTAAACAATATTCTTCCTCTGATAATTATTATTTCGATTTCGAGAAAAGAAGAAGGAAAAGATAGAAAAATACGAAGAGATAAGGAAATTCTCAATTTTGTGATTTAATCAATAAATGTATAAATCAATCAAAAAATGAATAAAGTTTCTTTTTTGATTATAAAATGAAGTAAGGAATTTTATTTTGTTTAAGCTTAGATGTCAAATTTCAACAGATCGATAAGCACAATTAAAATAGAAACGACAATGGAATGTGTAAATGAATGACAATAAAGACAACATATGTTTGAAATTGGTATAAATTTAGGAAATTTTGGAACGATCGAAATGGCAGTCAAATTTTCCATCTTTCCTCTTATCGTTTTTTCTCTCCCTCTCTCTCTCTCTGATGTGTAAAATTTAAAGATAGCTTTTTTGTGAGAAATAAGAGGAAAAGGGATTTGTGAAAAGATAATAAAAATGGAAGGGTTTGCTTCTTATCAAATTACTCAATCATATGGCAAACAAAAGGTAATAGCAATTATATTAACTACTAATTGTCTCTCTTATTCATCCATTCTTTTTCTTTAATTTCATTTTTAATTCTTATGTTTTATTTTGAAAGAAAAGAAGAAATGAGTTAGAATTATATAAATGATATTAAATTAAAATAGAAATATTCTTATTGATTGCAAGTTAAAATCGGTGAAAGAAGAAATAATCAAAAGTTTCGATTCAAAAATATGGCAGATTTTTTACATTTCCGATTAATTACCAGTCAATCAAAGAAGTAACGATCATACAATTTAGTCTTTTCTACGATATTTCATTTATTCGATTATTCCTACTGGATATATACTCACAAAAAATTCATCCGACTTCTTCCAAAACAAAACAAGAATGAAATTAATGAACTGAGCATTGATTTGCATCTAAAATATGCTAAACAAACCTTAAGTCGATTTTAATTAGTGACAAAAAAGAGGAAAAGATTTATCAAAATTGTCTATATGTCTCCTTATCATATATATTGATAAATGTGGAAGGATACACACACATACACACGCACACACACAAATACATATACAAATATATAAACACATAACGTTGAAATTTAATTGAAATATTTTGAATGTTCCTATTCCTCTTTATCTTTCTCAGGAGATAATTTCTGTTAAGCACGTCTATATTAATGAATATCATTGTGATATTTGGCACTTATCATCGATGATAGAAGAAATGATCGGTTTGAAAAGTTGTTCAGATTTGATCAGAAGCGCTTACCACATTTCTCTTCCATTTTTGTTTCATCATATCTGTTAACATTTTATCCTCTTCCCGCCCTTCATCTACCTCTCGCCCGATTCCTCGTTTCCCATTCCCGTGGTGTACTCTTTGTCGTTTTTCTTCATTTGTGTTAAAAAGATTTATGACAATTTATTATTGGTAGTAAAACGCATATGAGAAGGATAACACATTGCAATCTATTAATTTAAATTTAATTAATGGGTGTGAAATTGAAACAATGAAAAGGAGATTAGTTTTCTGATGTCTTTCTTTATCAATTAATCGTTGAGAACGAGAGAAGACAAAAAAGAGAAAAAGAAAAGAAGGAAGTAGAATAATTGAATTGTTTCGAGAAATTTTTGCCAAATGTTGACAAAATAATTTTGTTTACTTCTTTTAGACGAAAATTTATTAACTGTAACTTTTAATTTAATCAATCAAATTGTCATAATGAATTAGCGAATGCCATCAATATTATTTCATTAATTAGAATGCGGCAGGCGGTTCCAGTCATTTCAAGGAATTATAATCATATATGTCTCTATATGACAGCATATCATATCATATCATTCACCATTTACATTCATTTATTAATAAATTTTTTTTCACTTTTAACATTTTTTTTCGACTGAATTATTTCTTATCATTAATAATTATTTTTAAATTGAAATTATGAAAATTTTTACGAAATTTTAGGCATATTATTTGATGCTTTTATAAATCGATCATAACTTTCCTATATTCTAATTTCCATTGGTGCAATTTTCTTATTTTGAAATGAACAAATAATTGTCAGTGATAGTTTGCACATATATTTGAATAGCTAAATTAGTTATAATAATAAAACTTAAGCTTAGCATTTAATAATGACAAATACTTTTGCAAATATTTCTTATTTTTGATTTTTATCACTACAATAAATAAATTGATGACTACAATAATTTCAATTCAAGTATTGTTTTTTAGAATATTAATAATCGTTACATAACATACAACTTTTGATATTACTAAAAATACGTTTACATCTTTCATCTTAAGATTTGATTAATTATAATAATTGTTACTATAAATACCGTATCAGTAATTAATTCCGGCACAGATCAATAGGTCTGCAATTCATTGCATCTCATGTTAATTGCTTTATTTAACGATAAACAGAAAAAAATTAAAATAATTTCTTTTGTTTAATATTAATTATATTTTAATTATGATATACCATTTCTTATTCGTTTATGAAACGTAAAAAAGTTTAGTGCTTGAAAAAGTTTAAGATGATTAGCTTTTATCACTTATTGAAACAAATTATCACCAAAATGTACGTATTCAAAATATAAATAAGTAAAAATTAAAATAAACAACAATTCAAGCTTTTGAAATAATAAAAATTATTATATTAAATTGTTTTTTGCCTTTCATTTTTTTGAATTACTAATTCTAATTAAGCTGAAATAAAAAATATAATTAAAATTGGGATTGTGTTAAATAGAAAAACTTACCAACATTTACTAATTTTCATTGAATGTATCACATCGTTTAAGGGTGACATCATATTTCGTGATTTTCTTTTGTTTGAAAATTTACAACATTTTTCGTTTGAATGAGCGAAGAAGAGCGACAGATACATGGGTATTTAACGAGTGAGAAGGGATGGATGGGTAGGGTAAGGGGAAAATTTTAGAAGATACAGGACTGATTTTGTTGATGTTATCTAGTTGACATTTGTGCGAATGATCATGTATTTCCAAGGGTGTGAATATGGGGACTCAAATATATTTTCATCCTTCAATCACCGCCACCTGTTCGTAATTAATTAAATTCATCATGAAAATTTATCTACCAATGTTGAAAATGTAAATGCTCATTGGCTAAACATGGCTTAAATAAAAGAGTTTATCAAAACATTCATATTGATATAAAAAATTATTATTGATAGTATAAGGTGGAAATGATGATAACAAGCAATAATGGCTTGATTTGATAATGATGATAACACGTAATAATGTAAATGAAAGATTGATGAATGAAAAAAGAAAATATATTGCATCGTTTTTTATTTAATTAAAATTCAAATTATAATAAGGACTGATTATCAGAAAAACTTTGTTTGTTCCACCGAGTTTTAGTTTAGTTTAGAATCAAAAAGGTTGCTTAATTTGAAATATTCTATAGATTATTATTCATCAATTATATATTTATGGTAATGAGATCAGTTTTTGCACAAACATTAATTTGAAACTTAAACTCAAAAGAATTTATTTCAATGAAAAATTTTGAATTGAGAACTTTTATTTATAAAGCTTTTTCAGAATCTTTATTTAAAAAGTTTGAGATAAAAGTTTTAATTTAAATTTGTAAAACCTTTTTCAGTCATGGTTTTTACATTGCAGGCGAATATTTCCGGCCTTCAAAGTAAAGCTTTCCGGTTTGGATAAACGTTCCAAGTATATTTTACTAATGGACATTGTACCGGCTGATGAATGCCGCTACAAATTTCATAATTCTCGATGGATGGTAGCTGGTAAAGCAGATCCGGAAATGCCAAAACGTATGTATATACATCCGGATAGTCCAGCAACCGGTGAACATTGGATGACAAAGGGAGCGAATTTTCATAAATTGAAATTGACGAATAATATCTCAGACAAGCACGGTTTTGTAAGTTATTAAGTTTTGAATTTAAAAAGCAAATGGCAACTTTGGACAAAATTTTTCATAATACCATATTTTATCTCATTGGAAATGTAATATTGTTTTAATGCTTTAATTTAAATTAATTAATAAAATGCAAATATTAAAAAGCTCTGCCAATATTTGCTCAATCATTGAAAAAATTTATCCTAAAAATTTTGTTTCTTCTTTTCTCTCTCTCTCTCTTTTGAAATTCACTAAGCATTTCCAACAAAGAGCAACAGTCGTTTAATCTGTCCAGGTAAAGATAATTAATTCTAAGCTTTACAAAGGACTTCTGTGAGAGCTGTTGAAATCATTCATCTCATTCAATTTAAAATTAAATGAAAACGAAAGGTAACTAAATAAACATTTTCAATAAATTATATTTTATGTATTCAGTATCGTACCATACGATCATTGCTTTTTCATTTATTCAAAAATCATTATCTTGTAAACATAATTTTACTTTATTTCATGAATTGCTGACTTTTCTTTTTATATATTATTATCTTAATTTTTTAAATAATATAATAGCTACAGTAATATGTATCATACTACATTCATAACTATATAATAATTAAAAAAATTAATACTTAATAAATTTTGATGACAACTTGTAGTTGCCACAATGCAAGTCGTTCGTTTAGTATGAAATTAACTTCTCGTCGAACATTTTCCTTAATGGAGATAATTTAATTAGTGTGACGAAATGTATGATTGAAAGGAAAAAATTTCTTTCCGATTAGTTCAAATCAATGGAATGTAATGAAACGATCAGAGAATTTTACTCTTAACATTTCTCTTTTTCAATTCATTTGTTTTCTGTTCATTTAAAATAAAATAAAATAAAATTTGTCAGAATTTTCAATGAAAAAATGGAAATAATGCCATTATTTATTCATTTTTATTGTAATTTTAACGCTGAAAAAATTGTAGGAAAAAATGAAAAACTTTAAAATATATTTTAATTTTTGGAGAAAAATTTAACAAAAACAATTTTGACCTTTTGATTTATTAATTTTATATTTCTTTCACACTTTTACATTTCACAACATTTTACTTTACCTTTATATTTATGATTTATTCAGCTAACTATTTTGAAGTGTTGCTATTGTAGTAGACTTTATTTAGTAAGTATTAAAAGTAGAATAACTGTTTAATATTATCCTTCCTCTCTCTCCCTCTCTCTTTCTTTTTCCCTCCCTCCCTCTTTCTCTCTCTGTCTTAAAATATTGTCAGGAAGTGATTGTTGGAGTCGTCATTTGTAAGTGTTAGTGGTTGTTAGGAAAGGTTTGTAGGGAATAAAGGGTAGAACAATAGTGACGGCGGGGGGAAGGGAGAAGAAAGTTGAAATCGAGTGGTGTGAACACTTTAAAGCAAAGCACGCCGACAGCAGAAGCTAACAAGAAAGCTGGAAAGTATGCTAGCAAGCAAGCAAGCAAACTTACCGGTATCTTTTTAAGCTCATCTCATTGTCCTGCGCTGTTCGTCACTCGTATCTCAATACAAAAGGGAGCGGAGAAGAGTTTAGTAGCAGATGTGTAAATAGACACCTTACCATTTACTACCATTCGGGTAGCCGATATATCAAACAATTTCATAGTGTTTTCAAACCCAATCAGACGAAAGTATTATTTAAATTCCTTGCAAAATTACAACACTATTGGATATATTAATTTTAAAAAAATCTCATCAAAATTACTAATCAAAATTCTAGAAACAGCAGGAAATTCCGGATAAGAAAATCAGGATAGGAAATTATATCAATTCAACTATCTATTTATTCCTGATAAGATTTTTCTGGAAAAGAGTAAAGAGAGATTACTGAATAGAGCAAAAGATCGTTTGCAAGAAAAATTATGAATAAAATTTTCGTATTAAAGTTAAGTTTCAAAAAAGAAAATAACTGCGATTGAAAAAGAAAAAAATTATGAAAATGTTATATTAATTAAAAGATCTAATTTAAATTGGAAGTTTTAAAATTTTTCCTACGAGATACAACATTTTTATACCTACTATTTCATCTGTGTGATCAGAACTTATTAAATACATAGTATCAATATCTCTCTCTCTCTCTCTTCTGTTTAAAATGTTGTTTAAATGATGTTTATTCCAAAAAGGTGTAGCTGTCGTCTTTTCAACGTTTGACTGTAAAGTGGGCTCCCACAATTTATCTATCCTACGGTAATCGGAGGATGGCATCAACAGATGATGACAAGTATGTGTGTATGTGTATGTATGTATGCGTGTCTGCATTATCTATGTTTATATATGTATACTATGAGAGAGAGATTAATGGGGCAGAAGAGTGGTCTGCTTGTCCGTCTGTACCTTTCAAAATTTACCGCTATCCCTCCGGCTGTTTCCTGTTTAATATCTTACAAAATCTGTTGAGGTTTCAGAACGACACGATTTATAATAATGATGACGACGACAATAACAATAACAATGATTATAATAACAATAATAATAATGATAATAATAATAATAATAATAATGGAATAGTGATGGAAAGTGCATTATTATTAATTACCTGTGAATATTTTGGCTCAAAAATTTTTTATTACAATCACAGTAATGATAATAACAATGATAGTGATAAACGTTAGATAAGTGGAAAAATTTTTTTCAAAAGTTATTGATAAAATAGCATTGTATGCTAAGCAATAAAAAATGGTTAAAAATAGCATAAATAAGCGGACGAATTTTCAAAAAGATATGATTGAAACAATACTAATATTCTTAAAAATCGCAATTGCACAATTACTATTATCATTATTATCATTATCATTGTTATTATTATTACTAATGTTATTATTGTTATAGTTTATTATCATTATAATCGTTATTATTATTAGAAATTTATTATGAAAATTAGAATAAACATGTGAAAAAAAATGAGAAAGGTAAGAAAGAAGTGTGTTAAATATGTTAGTTAGAAAATATTTCATTTTATGTATAAAAATAATTTTTTTCACTTTTTCTTCTTTTCCTTCTCTTTTCCCTTTGTCTCTCTTATTTCTTTTGTTTCTTGTCAAAATGATAGCTAATAGAAAATGGATCATCGATGGTAAATGATGATAGCCTGATTGATCGAACAATATTCCGGTTAAGTTGTCCGATTTCTATCGTATCATTATTCATCACAGACATTCCAAACCATTCACTCATTCATCTATTCCTCTCCGAGATTTGCCGCATCTTTTTTTCCCCAACGTGTGAGATAAAACTAAGGTGGTAGAAGAGAGAAGAAGCGGAACATCTGACGCTTTGGGATATTTCATTTACTACAAGTATTCACACCCCATGAACAAATTTTCAGGGAAATTAATGCTAATAATTTTTTCTTCTAAAAAATTACTTTTTATTTTTTGAAATAATTTTTAGTTTTTAAAATCGAATCATTTAGATTAATTAAAGAAATATATTATGTCATTTGACTTTATTTGTTCTCATTCGAAAAAAGAAAATTATGTAAATTAAATTAAAATTTTTCATCGAAATTTATTTAATTCAAAATAAAACAATACTTTCTTGAATTTTGTTTTACTTTAATAATGAGCTAATTAATAGGATACGAGAAATTCCAGAATGATACTAAGACTAAGCCATTTGTTATATCAATTACATTACCTTGAACTGTAAATTTTTATATCAAACCTTATTGATCTGAAATTCTTAAAACGATTTTTTTTTTCATTGTTGTTATCATTGAACAGTAAATATAAACAAAATTAATTACAACTGTATCAACAAATAAATCAGTTAATTTTTATGCGTAAATTGGCAAAAATAAGTAAATTAAAGAGAAAAAGAGAAAAACATTAATTGTTGAGAGTTTTTATTAGCAAATAAAACTATTTAATAAAAAGTAAAGAAAACAAAGAAAGGGTGGCAACAAACAACGTCAACAATCGAGTTTATTTGTATATTTCCTTCTTTTCCTCGTCACATTAGTCAATTTTTTAAAAAAATTTCAAAGAGTTTTTCCTTTTTCATTTTTCTTCCTTTTGTTTATTTTATTTCTTTCTTCATTTTGCCCTTCTCAAATAATGAATTAGTTGTCTTACATACGATAGAAATAATTTGATGAAAATTTTTGTTTGATGTATAAAGCATTAATGATAATAATGATAACAGTAATGATGATAAGAATGACTAATTAGTTGGCAATTAGTTTTTATTCAGCTAATCAGTTAATGAGGGATTGCTTGATTTTCAGTATTCCTTATTTTTATTTTAAACATCATTGAATCAATCGAATTTGACAGTAAAAGTTGGTGAAGAATGGAAATTTTCATTGTATAAAACAAAGCAATTAGTAAAAAGAAAAAAGATTGGAAAATTAAAAATTTGTTAATTTTAATTTTTTTCCAAAAGAATGATTAGTTTATTTAAATTTGTTTTTTTTCCTATCACTCAATTTAATGCATTTATTTAACGCTCAATGACTAATTTTCTAATTAAATTTTTTCATTTAATTAGGAAAAAGACAAAAGAAATCTATGATAAATAATTGTTTTAAAATCAAATTGATTATTTGCTTTCATTTCTTGAAAATCTTTCTTTTGTAAATTTAGAAAAAATTTTAAAATTGTGAAATTTTGTTTTTTATAACGCATAGAAAGAAGCGAATAATAATAAAGGAAAGTTCAAAACGGCAACAGTCAACTTTGTCGCTGTCATTAAGATGATGGAAAAACCAATCGGTCCTTATTTCATTTCATTGTTTAAATATTTCTCATTTAATGATATATTATTAGTAAAATTGACAAAACAAAAGAAACAGAATTTAAAAAATTCTTTTTTAGTAATGTTAAAATTTTAAGAATGCAGAAATTGAAAGAGTGAAATTTTGAAAATTTTAAGAAGAAAATATAGCGACGAAATTCGTTGGATTATATTTTTTCGTTGGAATGAAAGTTTTTAATTTTAAAAAAGTTTTAAAGTTTATCTCATTTTTTAGCTTTTTCCTATTTCATTTTTTAACAATGTTCTGTTTATTCACAAATCTTTCTTCGAAGCTTAATAATGAATTGTTAGAATGAAAAGAAATGGGAATGATGGAACAATTAGGGTCGAATAGGTTGACGAAAGGTTGCCAAGCGGCTTCAATAGAATCGTTGAATTCAGGACAACGACAGCTGTTGCGTCAATGTATCATAGTAACAAGATGTGGTACATGTTGAAGTGGAGGGGGAGAATAATTTCTACAGTGACCGCTTTATTATGTCTCATACCATCAATTCCTTGTCCAGGGTTGATTGATAGGTATCATTATGGTACACCTTATCCTTCCACCTCCCCCCGCTATTCTCATCTCTCGTATCCTCTTTACTACTACTATACTACTCCATAAATCCATTAAGCTTATCTGAGCTTTCAATGCTTTGATGACAGCGCGATTTACCCATTTAAAATATAACGAAAAAAATTCTAATAAATAATCGTTTTTGGCTCATTTCACAATAATGCTTCCAAAAGGCAATAGACTTGAAGCCATTCAATCATTATATTATAAAGAAGCCAAAGTTAATAAGAAAATCGGAAAAGCTATCCCGAATTACTTCCGGAAACTATTGCAGCATTTCATTTAAAAATATTTTCAATAGGAAGGAAAGGATTATTTAGAATCGGAAGACTCAATGATAAGTTATCGCTGAAAAAAATCTCCCAAAATTAATATTTGATTGCCTTTCTTATAGACTTATTGAACAGAACCTTTTTAATTGTTTGTCAACAAAAATTCCTGACAGCCATTTTGGATTTATACATTTTTTCTTTCATAAGCGGGACAATTTTAACATTCTTTGTATTATTGTTATTTTTTTAACGGTTCAAATATCCGTTAAGCCGTCATTATTATTATTATGATTATTATAGTTGTTATTGTTATCATCACTATTGCTATTATCTAAATTATTTAAATTTAACACTAAAATTTTATTCCTCAATCAATAGACCAATATAATTGAAATTATTTGAAGTGTAGCGGAAATGGTAGTTAATAGTTGCATCTATGATCAATTTTAAAATTGACTAATTTAATCCATTTATTTCAAACCTCATTCTTTGTCTTCATTTTCCTCTTTTTTCTTGTTTGAGAAAATTGCTAATGTCAAAGGATAGATATAAATATATAATGCGCTATAGGATGGAAGTAAAATGAAGAGGTGAAATGGGTGGAGAGAAATGGAATTGAGGATAAGTTGAGGGTTTTCTGAGAGTGTTAACATTGTCAAAGAATGGTGGTTTCACGAGTTAGAAGATTAATGGAGCAACGAATCTTAAACACCACCACTACACAAACAGTTGCTACTAATACTCCTGCTAGTTGATAATTGATAATGATAACGATGATGATGATGGCAATGACAATGATACGATATGTAGTTAAGTATTACTTCAACTTCAAGGGATAAAGCATTTCTCTTCAATATTTAATTAAAGAAAAAGAGCATTTTTGCAATATTCAATAATAAAAGTTAATATATTAATAATTTACGACACCTAACAATACAATATCTGTCATCATAATAGATTGTATCCATTTAAAAGCACAGGAAATTAAAACATAATTGATAAGTATTGCATTGAATGGGATTATTTAATGAACCAATAATGAGACTTATGAAATCTTTGGAGGAAATTATCATACAATTTATTTTATACATATGTATTACGTAGGGCGTAGGTATTTTAAATAATCAAAAACTCAAATTTCATTTAATATTTAATGGATGAATAAATGAATCAGAAAGGTTAGGTTAGTAATATTCTTGAAAATTTCAAAAGCTAATAAATTTTACCCATTGGCTTTTCGTTTTTGACTTTTAAACTTTAACAAAACATTGAATGATAGGAATTTAAATTGTGTGATACAGTAAAGTTAATAATAACAAAGAAGTGTTGTTATGGAAGATTTTACAAAGAGAATAACAAATGAAGAGGAATTAATGATGTTAGCTAATTGATTTATGGATTGTAGAATTGAAATTTGGTAATGAATTTTCGAATCTTTCTTTAGCTAAAAAAAATAAGAGAAATGAATTTATTGGTGAATTATTTGCATGATATCAACATTTAAAACTTATTAGAAGATGTTACATAGAAAAAAAGGAATGAAAATAAGAATACTTAAATTGAAAATTAAATTAATTGTAATCAATCATTAATATTCCTAATAATAATTCCATTGATGCTTTTGAATGGAATTTCATCCGCATTTTTGCTAATTTATACATGAATATTAATTTATATCTGAAACTCTAATTTATAAATATTATAAAAGCGAAAAAATAATTAATTATCACACTTAATTGTTAATATATTGGAAATGAAAATTTTTTCCACGAAATTTGTTGATATCAAAATATAAAATAAAATAACAAATAATAAAATTTGATAGTAAAAATTAAACGCCAAATTAAATTTTAGCAAAACAAATAGTTTCGTATTTATAAATTTATAGATTTATATCAGAAATAATAAAATGACCAAATTTATTTTGAATTATCTGAATTTCTACTTTTTCAGACTATTCTAAATTCAATGCACAAGTATCAACCTCGGTTACATGTTGTCCGGTGTGCAGAGCTTATTAATTTACCGTATTCAACCTTTCGTACATTTGTTTTCAAGGAGACTGAATTTATTGCTGTTACTGCTTATCAAAATGAAAAGGTTGGTTTGTTGCATTTGTTATTTTCAAATTAATAAATAAAATTTTTCTCAAAAAAGATTTTAAAATAATTATTTGTTTATATTTTCTCTTTTAATTGTAATTGCTGCCTCTTTTTTCACAAATTTTCTATTACACAATTAGTCAAATTTATTTTTGGTATTTTTAATTAAAATTAGGATTGACACTTTCTTCTCTATTTTTAATAATTACAAATGGCAATCTGTTAAGTTCCATAAATCCTTCTCAATCCATGCATGTGTGTGATAATCTTTTTGATCTGTTGAAAGAAAAATGAAATGATTTTTTCGTTTGTCGAAAATAGGGCAAATAGCGTCACCGAGCCATTTCTTAATTATCCCTCTAACAATCTTTTTACTTTCCATCCTATTTGGCTTATTTTTAACTATTTTCTCCTAATTTACCCAATAATTCTTTATCGATTGATTCTATTATTTTATTCTAATGTTTCGTTAATTACTACATTTTTCTATTTCTTAATGTTTCATCAATTGCTGCATTTTTTCTGCATCAATTGTTATTGTCATCCTTTTAATAGGCATAGATTAAAACAACAAACAATCAACCACCTTGCTGCATATCCTTAATTAATTGTCTCAGATTACAACAATGCACTAATTATTCTTGTACCACTTTATATTGTTGATAGTAGGACATATACAAATCAGTAATCGAAAATTTTATTACCATAGCTTCATATTTAACTACTGTAAGCTTTCTGATTCAAGTACCATAGGCTAATCTGTTTAGTGCAACTAAGCTAATTAGCTGCAATTAATTTGTTGGGCAATAAAAAACGAAATATTTTGACTCTCTCAGCTATCCGCGAAAGTAAAATAAGGGAGTATTAAGACATAACCTGAAATTATAGGTCCATAATTTGACATAAAACCTTTGAATTTAATTACATTAGGATATGATGTGCGCGAAAAAGATCGAAAAAAAAGTATATTAACTCTTCAAAATTATTTTTAGAACCGAAATCAATATAGTTTAATTTCAGTATTTTATTACTTTCTTTATTGTTTGTAAAAGACTTATCCATTCATACGGTCAGATAATACCGTAAAAACCATTTTTTTCCATATCCTTTAATGTCGTATTCCATCCTTTCTTATTATTACCGATTTTTGTTACTTTTTTCCCTTAATTTTATAATTGATCGTATGCCATACTATCAATACCTTTTTATCTTTCCCTCAAAAAAATTCGTACTTTAACTTTCTATCACTTACAAAGAAAATTTTTAAAAGCGTAAAATTTCTGCAACTTTCACTAAATGTTATGCATATATCCCTCGCTTCTCTTTCTTTTTCTTATCTCCTTTTCTAATAATATTTCGCGTTTGATCGTAAAAAGAAACTTAGAAAATGTTGGGTAATTAAATCGTAAAATCAAATGCCACCAACAATATATCCGATGCTAAGTACCGATTATACATATGTACAGATACAGGTATATACATGTTTATTTACTCATTATATATTTTCAAATGGTTCAATGACACGGCACCATCCCAATTAATCTTTTTCCCTCTTCCTTTTCTTTTCTTCATCCAACCAAAATACCTTTAGAATTTTCCATTGAAATTAATGTTGTTACTATTGCTACCATTTCTACTTCTATAATTTGTTGACTAATAATTGCTCCAAATTTTCATGAATAGAAAATAAAATAAAATTTAAGTATCTGTCTTCACTGAAGAAACAATGATTCAGTTAATTTAATATATCAAGTGCCTTTTTGAATAACAAAAAAGGCGATAATTGATTTGCAAAATTTACGGAATGATTCAGAAGAGAATATCAATAATGAAGTTAGTAACTACTTCTTCGAGAAAAATTTACTATAACATCTTTGCAATCCTAAGCCATTAATATCTGCAATCCACCAAAATTATGCAAGTAAAAACTATGCAAATTATTTTTTTCACTTTCAAAGTAATATTCTAAAAACGGTTATGGTAAATTCTCTCTCTTCCTATACTGTACGGATATATAGCAATATATACATTTCACTTACATCTTTTCCTATCTCTTATTTCATTTACTCGTTTTTACGATAATCACTTTTCGAATGAAATATTTTTTGCTTTATTTAACAGAAATAAACATTAGCCCACCTTATTTACTGTTGTTTACCTATCGATGATTAATAGAATGAATGGTTATGTACTTCTTTGAATAGTTTATCGTTGACCGCATCGCAACCGCTCTTCCTTCCTATAAATCCTTAAATCTCACCGCTTTGGTAAACAGGAAGTAACATTTCAGTAGTACTTGAAAGTTTATTATCTTTAATATTACTTACAGTAAATCTGCATAATATATCAGTTTTGTATCTTTTCAAATTAGAATAATCTTTTTTTCTTCCTTTATAGTTTTTTTCTTCCTTTTTCTTTTTCTTTGCATATATCTTTACTAATTATTTAATTTGTAGTAATAGAACGGATTTTTGTTATTAATTTTGATGTGATTAAAATATGTATCCTATTCCAATCGAATGTTATTCCAATCGCCAATAATGCCCATTGGTTTACCGTATTTTTTCTTTGTTAACATTTCTGACCGTCCCTTTCCGTTTTGTTTTCCTTTTGATGCAAAAATTGAGAAATAATTTTCCTAACTGCATAAAATGTAGACCGGTTTTATTGATATCTTTTATTCCACTTTTATTATTCCCAACTTCTTCGTTACAATCATTCAACGATGAAAATTATGATAATAATGGCATATTAGTGGTGAGAGATATTCATTTATAATATATAATAATTTTCTAAAAATTCCGTAAACTAAAAACTGTAATTAGCAAACAATAATAATAAATTTCATTTTTGGATTATGATAAAGGAAAATAAAGTTTGAATATCTTTCCAAAATAACAGACAAACTGATAAAAGTAGCGACAGCAATGATAAGATTAGGAATAATACAATGATAAAAATATTTTCATATCAGCAATTATGATGATGAATAATAAAAACAATAATAAAATAATGTAATGATCAATTTTTTCTATCACTATTATCAATTGATTTGTTTCTGTTTTTATATAAGACCATTTTATATGGAATGAACCAATATCAAAAAGATCGTTATTGATATTAAAAATTTATTATTCAACAATAGTATTTATTTGGATAATTGATTTTATGATGCATTTATCATCACTCTAAGAACAATAGTTGTAACAGTGATAGTAGTAGCAGTGGTAACGACGGTTAGTTTCTCGTATATATAATAGCAGTGGTAGTAATAATGGTAAGTCAATTTACATTTTATGTATAAGGGTCAAGTTTATGATGCTGCTATAATTCTTCGTTTACAACATATGTTATCAGCTGCGGAGAATGATTTCATATAATACAGCAATATTCGTCATTTAATCGTATATACTCTAGCTTAGCCTCAAATTTAAATAGATTTGTGCTTGAAAAATTGTTTCAAAAATTAAAATGTCGAAATGCAAGATTATATTTAAATAACCAATTTAGCTATCAGATGAAAAAGTTTAAAGTTAATTTTTCTTATTTTTATCATTTAATCGAATAGAAAATATACAATGGGAATAATATTTGATTTTTGGTATTTTTTGAAATCGAAAAAAGTTTTTTCATTTTTTTGTTCTAATCATTTGATTGCTTAATTTACTTCATTGAAGTTTTTGTTTTTTACTTAAATCTTAAATTGGTTTCAATCAATCTCATAGCGAAGGAATTAATCAAAACTTCGCAAAAATTTGTTAAAATAAAAAAATTTCATGAATTTTTACAGTTTTGAAAATTTATCGATCTAAAAGTTTAATTTTTTAAATTTAATTTCTTTGTTTTCTGTACTAATGAATATTTTATGAACAATAGCATTCAAAACATTTAAATTTGATTTTTTCAATAGAAATATTTTTATTTGTTTATTCTATTATTTGGGAATAATGTCCGAAGAATGATTTGTCCCAAGACTATGTTGACCTTGTCTATCGGACTGCTGTGGTCACCCAATTGCAAAGTCTTTTCTTCCATACCTCTTATCCATCGGCATCTTTGACATACAATAAGAAAGGAAAAAAAACCATCCTTCTTATCTTTCATTATTTCAGCATTAACCTTTTCCGATCAGTTAGTATGATGAGTCACCAGAAAAAACTGATTAACGGTTTAATTATCCCATACAATTTTATGTTATTATAATTAGGCTGCCAATATTTTCACCTATCCATTCTTCATTGATCTAAATTTCTAAAATAGCGAATTATGAAAACGAAAAATTTGATTCATTAAATAAATGATATAACAATTTTATGTTGGATGAAAATTGGAGAAAATTATTTAGTTGAATTATTATCATTTCATTGTGAGTTATATTTGACCTTCGTCTGTTACATTTCTTTTTCTATGAGAGAAAGAAAAAAAAGGAATTTGTAGTAATTCTTCTTATCCGTCACCTTTGCTTCCGATCTTTTGACAAATTTTAGACTCATACTTTTTGGCCATCAAAAAATGACGGATTATTTTTAAAAAAAATTCTGCTACTTTCTAAATAATTTTGAAGCCACTTTTTGCAATCAAAAATCAGCTAACACTTTAGTTTTTATTTACAGTATGTCAAAAAAGCCATTCTTCTGTTCTTCTTTAAATTTTTTTTAATTGTTTGAAAAGAAATATTACTTTCATCATTTTTCAGAATGATAAGTTAATAACGCATAACATCTCAACATATACTTTTGTATTTTATAGATGACAAATGATAATTCGTATGTTCACTTGCATTATGCAGATACAGGTTATATCATGATATCAACATACGAATATATTATACATGTCATGTATGAGGATATTACCTTATGCAATAAAAACATCTCATATTTTACAACCGTTTCTATTGATGCAAATTGACCTATACGCCAATGGTACGGTAATATGATAGGTAGGGTGGTTTGATGAATTGAAATTGCTAATTGTATTGTTCCTTCTCATTAGTCTCATCTTTTTCACTGTTAATAGTAGTACCATTGTCATCATCAGTTATATATTCTTCTGTCCCAAGGGTGCAACACATATACATTCACAAATGTTAAAGCACACTGACATATTCATACTTTGCCAGTAATTTGCAGCATAGTTTTTTCCATCCCTTTTTACCTTCTGATTGTTAGCTTTTCAATAGTGTTATTCCACTTGGATAACACTGAACGACTGAACGAAGCGGGAAGATAAACTTAGAAACTATTTAGAGAAATGAAAGAAAATTAAGCGGAAGATGATCGCATAACGGAGGAAACGGAAATGGAAGAGGCATGCAAAAGCTTATTGGTTTTAAGACTAAGTAGATGACATGAAATTAGTTAGAAAATAAAGTAAAAGGCTGGCCATCTATTCCCTAACATCATCATTCTTCTCACCTCTTTCCTTTCCCGGATGGTATACGGTGTATTCTAAATAATGGGAGGCTAGATTGAAGATCCGGAAGCGGAAATATCCCATGGGAATAGGCAATTGAATAAAGGAAGTAGCAGTTCAACATTGTAGCTCCAATTTAGTTGGGTAGAGCATTATGAGGGTATTTCTCTGTATGTGGAATGTGTTTGTTAGGGGATTTATAAGTGAGTGCATATCAAGTGCAAACGTAATTGTCTATTAAGTATTGCTACCCCACTACCCTCTTAGAAGTAACTGACAAAACAGTTTTATAATAATGGGGAATGGATCTTGATGAAATAAGGAGATATAGCTTAAAATGCTTCTATGAATTTCTTGTCGAGACTTGAAGAAGGAATAAATGTGACAAGACATATCTTATTCCTTTTTACATCATTTTCTCTTTCATTATCTTACTTTTTCTCGCAATATATCATACTTCACTTTTCTGAAGTTCACCAGAAGTAACATCAAAATATCAATATCGTATCTAAAGAACAATGAAAACAACTGCAATAAATGCTACTAATAGTGAACAGAATAATCATGAATTGGTTTTTACTTTGAAAAAGGAACAATAAATTTGCATATTACTTGAATTTCTTGCTATATGATCCGCCATCATTTCCGGTCTTATCCAGGAACTAGCATTCGAAAATTAAATTGCACGATGATCCTCATTTAATTTAAAACAGAAATCTTATATTAAATTTGATGAACTGAATTTTGCAAATGTAGCCGAATGCTCACTTTTTCACAAGATATCAACTCTTCTAAATATTTTTAGATGAAATAATCTTCCATATAACAATATGTTAACAGAACTTAAGTAAACCATTAGATTTCACTTATGTTTTCTTTCCAAATTTTCTACAAATAACTGTTAAAATCTTTGAAAATTTCGACGACACTTTGAACTTAAATCATTCAAAAATTTGTTATACGTTATTTTCAGTCCGCTTATAATATTTTTCCTTGTACATTAAAGCATTAGCTTGCTGTAGTGATCAAAAATTCTTCACTCTTGATTTCCGGACAAGCTTCAAATGAATGATAATATTCGGCAGAATGATTTTAAACCCGAATTTTATAATGATATTTTATAGTAGAAAGCTCAGAAAATTCGTGTTTTCTTTTTCTCATTTGCAGGTAACACAACTTAAAATCGACAATAATCCGTTTGCCAAAGGGTTCCGTGATGCCGGTGCTGGAAAACGTGAGAAGAAACGGTTAATGAACAGAATGGAATGCAGTGTAACCACTACTGGCATCTCGAAATCGGTGATTTCTCTGAATGACGATCCTGTAACATCTGAATCACCAACCGCACGAGCAGGAAGTTCGATGGACTCAGATCGCTCGGACGACGATGATTCGCCACCTCTTCCGAAACGAGCCCGGAGTAGTCAGAATACTACCGATGAGTCGTTTAAAAATCATCTACCCCAGAATCACAACCTTCAACAACATCTCCAACTTCTACACAATCACCGATTATTATCCAAGGAGGCTACCAATTTTCAATTATTTCATCCAGCTGGTGTCGGAGGTGGTGGTGGTGGCGGGGGCGGAGGCGGCGGTCTGCCACTACCACCACCTCCTTTTGCACCATTTTTCCAGAATTACGGGTTTCATCCCGCTGCCGAGTTTTTCTTCCCCGCTTCTTCTTTTCCTCGAGATTTCTTAATGCACCAAGCAGCTGCTGCAGCTGCAGCAGCACAATTTTCACCATACTTGCTTCGGCCATCTTTACCCGGTACACCACTTTCTGCTTCTCAGGCAATTAATCCACCTGCAGCTTCCCCTGCTTCCGTTGCTGTATCAAAATCGTTATCATCGATTGCAAATATCGCTATCCCGTCAACCGTTAACGGAGTGCCACGATCTCCAGCTCCTACAACCGGAAAATCGACAGTAGCTCCAAAAAAGGGAGGATTCGATGTATCTGATCTCCTTGCATAACCGTGATATTTCTATGTAATTTTCGTATCCGCCCAAATTTTGAACTTTTTATTCAGTCGTACTTTTTAAAAAAAATAAATAAAGTGGCACATAACGAGCAAAAATTCTGAGAATTCTCATTAAAACTAATTGAAAATTTTCTGCCATAATTTTCTGCAACTTTAATGATGAAAACATTTCATGAAAATTGCTATTTAACGCTTTGTTGTTTCATAGTTTTGATAGGAAATAACAAAAGTAACTATTAGAATGAATGGTAAATTAAAGCTATTATTTTTCGACGCTTTTTATAGCTATGGTAATATAGTAAAATGAAATATATATATGTATTATTTGTAATTGAAATAAAAGAAATTTCTATTTTTGAATATTTCAAGTTTTAGATTATTGATTAGTTAATTGAACATTTTTCTTTTAAGTCGTTATTAAACCAAAAACAAAAAAATTAGAACAATGAAAAAGAATTTTTTCAATTAATTGATCATTGATCATTATTTCGAGTTAAAAGAATGCAATGCTCACACAGCTTTACTGTTTATAATAAATGTGTTCGTACGTGGTATATATTGAAAAAGAAAATATAGAACAATTGAGTACCATTTTCATTTATGTACATAAATTGCATTGATAATATTTTCTCCTTACTTCTTCTCGTTCATTTTATTTATCAATTTTGATAATAACTAAGCTTAAATTTGGTAAAATGAATGAATTGTAATAATATGAAATAAATGAAATAAAAGAGTTTTACTATGCATAATATTAAAAGAATAATTTATTAGTAACTAAAAATTATGCAAAGTACAAATGCCTGAATATTAAAAAAAGATATTACAAATTTTTGATAATAATTTAAAATTTTTTAATTTTAATTTAGGAAATATTTTAAATGAACAATTTTTTCCCTTCTTCCCATTTTATAATTATTCCTTACTAAAGCTAACGATGGATGAAGTAATTCAACACTTTTAGTGCATCAAATCTTTTCAAAATTATATTTGTTATATTAAAATATTGAAGGATATATAAATAAATACTGCTGCTACAAAGATGCTTCTACGAAGAAATACAGTATCCAATTTCAGACTTGAAGCAATAGTGATGTTATTAGCTGTTCGGAGTATATCAATCTTTCTCGTTGATTTGTTTACTTGCTCATTGAAACATTGTGTATTAATTCTCGAGTACCAAGATGAATCACACCATAGGCCATACGCATAGATATGTATTCCCTTACATCGATTCCTATTACAAACCATAAAGCTTTTCAAGTATATCCGTGAAAATTGAAACAAGATAAATAAATATAGATAAATGACTAAAGCTTCTTCATATAAGTTGCCAGTTTAAGAATATATATGCTTTTTTATTACAAATAATCTCAGTGGTGTAAAGTATCATCAATCCATTAGTATATTGTAGTTACGTTGTATTTTAGCGAGAAAAGAAAACGATACAATACTTACTTCATTAATATATTACAATTCTTTTATAATATTTTCCATGGGATATGTTAAAAACATGCGAGAAAGGCGAAAATGAGAGAATGAAATGAAATATTCTGTGGGTTATTAAAATTATTCTTTTAGGGATATTTTTACTTTTTTCTTTATTTAATTTTGCTAATAGTTATAGTAAGCATATTTGTAGTCAGTATTATTACGTATTATTATTACTGACCTATAAATTGTTATCAAAAATTAAAAAATTTTATTATTATTATTATAAATAGTATAATCATTCTCCATTTTTTGTTTTGATGTTTTTCTATTCTTCATGTAATTATTTTCATTATAGTGTGTCAGTGACAATTTGATGATATGATATAACCAACGATATCGATAATTTTAATATCAAAATCATGCTGTATTATCATTGTAAACAAATAATGGAAGAAATAACCTAGGACATCAAAAGATATTAGTAAATGGAAAGAAATAATGATTGTACATAATTGTGATTAAAACAAATGATTATGTATAACGAATAATTATAACGAATGTGATATTATTATGTAATCAACCTTGTGAAAAAGTTTTTTTCTGCATCTGATACACTTTCTAGCTTTCCTGTGATATCGAATCGATTTATATAGAATGATGACTGTCACATAATTACAGGATAAAATGTTTAAAAAATGGAAGAGTGTAATTGAGAGAATAAAGTTAGGTGATCGATGTCCGTTGTTGACAAAAAAGAAAATACGCAGATAATGGCCGTGAAAGATGTCGCCTTATAGGGGTAATACAACGACATTCTTTTCATTCTTCTCTTTCCCACCACCAAATTTTCATCTCTTTCACTGCCTGTCAACCTTCTTTCCTGTAATAATCTTATTCACTCTATTCTTCACTTGTCATTGATGATTATTACCTTGCAATGATGATTAATACGAATTATTATGATTACCTTTTTCATCGATGAAATAATAATACTAATATATCATCGCAATTACTTGTATCATCAGTTTCATTCCTTTTTTTACCCTTCTTCTCCCTCTCTGTTCCTTATTTTTCGATTATTTTCATCAACAGTCTTCGCTTATGTTGAACACATATATACCATATGCTATCATCTTTTTCCATGTTACCGATAACAATAACCGCTCGATCAGTATGAATAACTATATGGTACGGTAATAACTGTTACCGTATCATAAATACAAATCCCTCATCATCATGATAGCTTTTTTACTGACGAAATTGAGAAAACGATAATTGGTCAGTTAATTACTAAGCAAAACAAAATATATACCACTAACCTCACTTATGAAGAGTTACAACGCTACCACAAACAGAAATCGTATTCAGTTACTGCTTTTACTAGTTTCAGACTACATATTCATGCCCGGCAATGAATCATTAATTCATTTCATCCAATTTTTTGTCACTATTTTTTCCAACCACTTTCAAACTTTAATAACTTCCGAAAATTTCCCTTCAAAGTACTACCCAGCAATTTTGAGTTAATCGATTTTCAATCATAATGATTCAACGAACTTCTGTACTAAAAAAGCTTGTGAGAGAATCAAAAATATAAATTTATTAGTATAAATATATGAGAAATAAAATCGTAAATGTCAGCAATACAAGCGAATGATTAAAAAAGGGGTTAATTAACAAAAATATAAAACTAGCTAATTAACTAACCATTTGATTTATAAAGTTCTTCAAGTCAATTATTCAAAATAAATCATTCAGTCGTTCATTCATAATTTTGAAAATTTAGAGGAAATCTTTGAAGCAGAATTATTTCGAACAAGAATTACACTTATAAGATTAATTATGCTAAATTGTACTTCGAATCGAAATTTCTGAAGACAGACGAAAATTTTTAATAAAGTAATCAACACAAAAAATAAAATCTATCTTAAAAATATCAAGAAAACATACATAATTATTCTCACAACATCTATATAAAGCACACATAGTAATGCTCTAATAATCGCTCAATGTAAGTAAATACCTGAATAATAACCAAAATTTACAGTAATGTTAAATTGTAACTGAAAAGTAGATATCGATCAAAAATCTGGACAAGAAGAAAATAAAGGATTTTTATCCATTCATGGAAAATTCAAGTTATATTAAAAACCGTAAAGTCTGAGATGTTAAGAGAATTATGTAGTCAGGATCTGTAAGATTCAGAAGCACTAGAAACACGAGATGGTCTTAAAGCGAGCGCATCAGATGCAATTGTACGAACAATAGTTGCCATGTGCATATTACTCTGTCGTAATTGGTTACAGCTAAGTGTTAACGCTTTGTCACTTCCCAGAATAGCCCAACAAGAACTCTGATGATTGCGACAATATGCCAACAGCAGCACTTCAACATCAACCTGATCACAACAACCGTACTCTGCACCAAATTGCTGCCTGCAAAACAGTATTCATCAAAATTTACAGATTTTATTCGTTCCAGATTTATATCTCGTAACTTATCATTATATCACTAAATTCGATGTATCAGTAAAAAAAGCATAACTTTGATACAAAGATTCAATATCTATTATTGCTTTAAAGCTATATGTTCTGTCTTCTCCATCATAGTTTAGAAATATGACATTGAGCAATAAATTCTGCAATTACTTTCAGATATCAATCTCAAAGCTTAATGTCCCATCACGTAGCTTACTACCAAAGCAGTGAAACAAAAGGAAAAAAAGAAACAAAGGAGGCAGCAAACAACAAAGTCATAAATTTGACTTAAAATGACGCAAATAGCATTTTCGACAAAATCATAAAAAGCTTCAATTTCGTGTTTTGTATGTGAGCCTGAAAGCTGCCTGATAGATAGCTTCCTACCGCAGATGATAATGGCAAATGATAGGGAGAAATCTTCAATAGTCGGATACATGAAAAAAAGCGACAAAATTTCAGAAACAGTAAATTGAAATATCCCAATAAAATAACTTTTTTCAACATTGAAGAATTTCGTATTTATTTCCTAGTCTAAAAAATTTCTTCATCATGTGCACAAAATAATAAGGATTTTAAATTGTTGAACGATTGATCATGATTGTATAATTCAACTACCATACGCTAGCGAAAAAAAAGAAATTAATTAAAAAAAAATTCCTGCATCAATTAAAAGAACTGCAAACTTTTTCCTTGACAAAGAATTGCCATTGTTTCTGTTTTTCATTAATAAATCTTTGGTTTATTTGATTTTTGGACTCCTCGCAATTTTGTTAAATCTCTGTTCTGAATTCATGACCACTATCTGACATATTCTTCTTCAAGCTATCAATATTTTTCATCTGAAGTCAGTTGTTATCTTTTGATATAGATAAAAAAAAAATTGTTCGATTGGCAAGAAAAAGTGCGGTTTTGCAATTCTGCTGGAAAAATGGAAGACAACTCAGGGACCACGCATGGTTTCCAGAAATTAAAATAAAATTTTGAAATTATAATTAACTATTTCTTTTTGATCTTTTTGTATTAAGAATACTGCATTATAAATTAAAATATCATCCAACACTATAGATCAACCACAAAATCCATTGATGATCTAACGCTATCATTTTAAAGTTGCATCAATATTTTCTAGTCTTCTTGGCTGATAGTCTATCTTATTTAGTGACAGTTAATTTACTGTCTAAATTTTGAAAATTTCAACTTTTCCTTATACAACACATCATACAATAATCATACATGATTATTATGTGATATGATATATGTATAATAAAATCATACAATTATCATTTGCCTAATTCAACTTTGGAAAATTATCACCACTGCACTCAATCAAAGACACTAACAAACAAAGAATCACAACAAGGTTATTCCTCACTTATCTATAATCTTCGTAATTCTGGATGACCTTAGATGAAAATGATTTATTATGGTATTCCATGGCAGTGAGAAATTCTAACGAAATTATAAAGTATTACGGAAACTTCTCAAAGCTGAAATATGACAACAAAACATCTGTTGCTAACAGCGGATAGGATGATTTTGTACAAATTAAGTCGTGAGATGATCGATGTAACCTTACCCATGACGCGCCATATGCAGATTCTTATCTTACCTTTCACCTTCTTTTCCTCATCTTCTCTAATCTATTTGTGATGTAAATTACCATTCAACAACTATGCTAAATGTTCTCATCTAAATCATACTGTATATTATAAATAATTGTAATATGATTTTTCAATTATATTACTTCTCAACTATTTCAGAATTTTATCTTTATTTCATGGGGAAAAATTTTTTAGACCTGATAAAAAGGCTGCTAATTCAAAAAAAAATTACTGCTTGCAAATTAAATATGATAGAAAAAACTTAGCAGAAAGATGAAAAAAGGGAAACATTTACAGTAAGAACTATTTTCGGAAATCGCAAGTGTATAAATATATTATTTGATATTTGAATCTTCTGCTGGAATCGCATAAGTTTTATAAGTACTCTCATTTTGTTGACAAGATGATTGGATTTAACATCTTCTCCGTCACCGTATGCAACAAGCTTATCTCTACCCCGTAGAATATTTAGGAAATTCAAATAAGCAAACTGAAATCTCCCAAACATTCAATCTTCATAACTCTGGATTTTAATAAAAAACAACTCTCAATTTTATGAATTCTGAAGGTAAAATGAACATTCTTCAAAGAATTATTGAAAGAAAATTTTCTTAGAATAAAGATCGTTTCGAATAATAAATAAAGATATCGTTTCGCGAATTTTTCTTTTTTTCTTACACTAGTGATTTTTCTGAAATTTCATAAAAATTTAATTATATTATTACAAGATCCCTAATATGCAAAATAAAATAAAGTAACGAAAGACCTAAAAAAAAGGAAAAAATGAGAGGATGATTGATAAGACAAAGAAGTTGTTAAAAGAAACGATCTTGAAGTGGTCGATCAGCGACAGAGTAGATTGGCTCCATGATGGCTGGAAATGCTTCAAAAATTATTTGACGTTCTCATTCCATCATTCGCCTATATTCATTAATAACATCTGCTGAAGAGGGTTCAGGGAAAAGCTCGAGGTAATAAAGATTTTATCATAATGAAATTTTACTGCCATAGCAAAATGATTTTAAAAAAATCTTCTTTGTTGTCTGCAAAAGAAGAAGCATTCAAATTGTTTGATTTCTTTTATGATGGTATTGGAGTCTCTAAGTAGACAATTCACGAAAAAGAGACAAAGATGCAAAAGGAGAAAAACAGATAATGATGTCAATTTTTTATCAGTCATTTTTGCATATCTACTATCATTTTTTATCGATAATCAACTATCAATATATAAATATATTGAAAAGATCCAAACAATTTCTCATGGTATTTCCTTCATTCAATACTCAAATGAAGCCAACTGTTTCGAGCGTCACACAGTTTTGTGTCACTAAAAAATCAAACAAGTCGAACAAGCGAACTAACAATCAGACTACTTATCCAGCAATTTGATATTTCTATGCAAAATATTACATTTGTCTGTTTTCCCGTCAATTAATAGCATTGTTCTTCGCATATCGACGAAAAGTCAAGAAGTGAATATTCTGTCAATTCATTTTAAAAAGGTGCAGGAGTGGCTCATAATTTTTTTAAAACTTAATAGGCAGCATTTGCATCTGTAGCGAATAAAATGCTCAAAAAAGATTGTCTTAAGTTTTGCAAAAAACTTTTAATGATATAGATGTCGTATAATATGGTAAGTGGAAGAGAAGTGACTACCAAGTTTGAGAAATGTTAATATCTGGCAAAAAAAATGTTACATTATAGAACTAGTGTTTATTAAAAATCTTCAATACAACTTATTTTCAAAGCACTAAGTATTGCATAATAACTCGAAACAGTTTTCAGTATGAAAACACAAAAATAATTATGATAACGCAAACCGTTACCTGAGTTGCCTTAGCATATGTAAAGCATTCTTATATTGTTTCTTTTGCATTAACATCAACAACGCATCGATATTTGGCTCAAGTGTTACATTTGACATACCACTGTCTATACCATGTACCGAATCAGGAATACTTGCTAATAAGCATCTGTGCAAACACAATACTTCGGCTGATATATTAGCATTCTGAAATATTAATAATTCATATATACTTTAATTATCTGATAATATTCTTTAAAATCAATTATTACTTTCTGAATTTGCTCATAAAAGATTTATGCAGATTTATCATTTTAATTCCGTAATTCTCAGCATCACAAATTTCCGGTTAATAGTTGTTCTATATTACGGCAATTTTGTAAGGTCATTGCGAAAATTCGTTAATATTCGACCTGAATTTCATACCGCAACAAAAAATTTTTTTCGATTCTCATCATTGCTGAATTCTCTCCCTCCCATATGTCTTGACTTCCTTTATATTATTAATAAAATGGATGATTCCACAAATTTCTTTTTCCTGCTCTAAGAATCCTTTATAGCTTATTATTGCTATTTCCTATTATGCTTATTTTTTCATAAATCATATTCTACTGAATTTAATTTTAGTTCGCCAAACACCGACACTGATTATACGCATATCGCATAAAAGTTTGCATTTATTTCACGCCAATTCATAAACTTTAATGCCCAATCTCCAAAAAATGAATGGGATAAAAAATGAAGTGAAAGGAAAAAAAAAGTAATTGTGATATCAATATTAATTAATTTAACGCAGTAATGCTGGAACTAAAGATAATAGTAATTTACTACCATTACCAATACTGACTGCAGGAAATATCAATGTAAGATGAGAGGCTAACAACGAAGTTATCGTGATGAGATCATGCTCTCATCAATCAAATATCTATCGACAACAAAAATCACATCAATAACCGTAATTACAACTACGAGAAAAAAGATTAGACTGAAAGTATTATTTAGAAACAAATTCTATATTTATGACCTTATTAATCATTTTATTTTTTAAAAAAAATATTTGATTAAATAAAAAAAATGGTATAAGAATTGAAAATGACATAACAAATGAATTCAAAATAATATGGAAAGATAAAGAAGATAACAATTAGCATATTTGCGCGTTCAGCAAGAAAATATAACCTTATTTTGTCTACTCAATAATATCATGAAAGCTGCTTTATTTATTCCTCAACACACAACAAATGCGCATTACATGAATGCAAATTTTGTTGTCATATTCTAGATTTCCTATTTTGAGCATATCAATCTTATCTGCTAGCAAATACATTTTATATGAGGTCTTAAATATATTACAAAGTTAAACCATATCTCGCTAACAACTAAATGGCTTAGAAAAGTCATTTTGCTATGCTTCTTCATTATTGCATTAAGTCATAAAGAGTCGCTATTATATGCACAAAAATATATAAATGTAATGTCATTCTACTTACTAAAACAATCTTTTACCGAAATTCTTGAAAAATATTTCACGCAAAAATCATTATTGAAAAAAGTTCCGGAACTGATGACGGCAAAACTATATATAAAATTATAAAATTTATGCTCTTATTTTAGTTACAGTACTCCAATATTCTTTGTGCATTTCACTATTCTGCACTGTACGATTTTATATCTCGGTAGTTATACATGACATTACCGTATATCCGATAAGATGGTAGTCCGTTTGTTTGCTATTCATTCCCATACTCATCATCGTCTTTATCCTATCACCAACCATCTCCCACAAAGTTTTATATGTTCATAGCCCAAAAATATATAATTATAAATTCAAAAAAAAAAAATTAAAATTTAGGAAAAAAGGTACGCAGATTAAGTAAAGCATCAAAATACTACCGCCATAATCAATGTTTGACAGTTTAAAATAGATGAAGAGAAAAAGAAAGAAATAAAAAAGAGGAAGCTGTGAAAATAAAACGACCGACCGAAATACGCCACCATTAAAAATAATTAGGATCCAACAAAAATTCATTCAAATGCGTCAAAACTACTATAATCCACCATTCATTAACTACGTACATTGATATCTTATTTCAATGATAATAATTACGATATAAATACATATGTGTATAATGATCACACAAATACAGTAACCAAAACTATTTTTAAAATATAATCATTATCATTTTATTCACAATTTTTTTACAAAGATAAAAAAGAATGAAGAAATTGCTTCTTATTAAAATAAAAAATAGAAAATTAAAACTTCCGAAAAAATGACTCGACTAATGTTGAAAACTATTCTATTATTATTATCGGTAAAAGTCCAAATATTACTATAAAACTAATAATCAAAGATAATTTCATCAATAAGAGATATTCTCGTTCCTAAAAAAAAGTCCATGTTTTCTTAAGCCAAAGAATATAGTAAATTACGATGCTTTTATTTCCAAAATAATTACTGTCAAACTTCCTTTTCATATCTCTTAAAATTTCACAAAAAAACCGGCTATTCAGCTTGACTCATTCCCTAAGCCACAAATAATCTCATAATTGTTAACATTTCTTCGGGGAAAGCTTAGAAATCCTTAGAAATTATTGCTGTTATCATTATCAACTTCATCCAAATACTGACTTGATAGATGAAAATCAATTAAAAAACTGGATGTATAATATTCATACCTGAATGTCGGAAGCATTCACTACACCTTTCACCATCTCATCAAACTTATCTGTGATTTGAAGTAGTTGGAAAAATAACTTGTGCACCGATCGACATAACTCTAGTTGCTGGAATGCAAATTTCACTGTCTCAGTGGCACAGATAAAAGAAAAAAGGAAAGGAGGAAGAGGTTTTAGGATGAAAGCAACGTTAAAAGGATGCAGACCTGATTTGAAGTAACTGCTGATACTGATGGACCACCGATTAAGGCCAATTTCATTGTTGCCTTTATCGCATTTAAAGCCTGAAATTGTCGATTTGATGCACAATTTGTAATAATGGATATATAATCCAAGATAAGATGGCCTAACTTCGATTTGCAAATTTTGTCCATGATGTCAAGGCTACTATTAAGAATTATTTTTCAATAGAGCAAAATCCCTCGGCGTGAATTATATACTACAAAATATCCTTTGTATCCAGAGGCAAAGTAACCGTATAATCAATTATGAAATATGTTAACAAAAAGTGAAGGAAGGTTTTGATAATTCTAACCTGAGTAAACCCAAATTTGTGTTAATTTATTGGATTAATTGCATTCTTCAGATCTTGTTAATCTAATGTTGTATCGCTTTTTGTAAATCTCAGCGATAATTTTTCCTTTCTTTTTGGATTATATCAAATAATTTTCCTATCCAAACTATTGTGAATTGCTTAACTAGTTATTCAAGCAGCTTACCTTACCATTATATTAATCATCTGCATCACAATTTAAATGAATTTTTCCCCAATATACTCTGATTCAATTATGTGCAAATTTTCTGCTCCTAACTTTTATGCTGACATCATCAGGCTTGATAATTCTTCTGGAAGACCTAATAACCCGTGCATTCATTCGTGATATTTGGTAGCTTTAAGAAATTAATCAATAAGACAAGGCAAGAAAGCATGGAAATTATTTTCGTCTCACAAAATGTTATGGGCTACTTCCGTTCAATTTCATCCTCAATATGCAAAAGGAATCAAAGACAGAGTGGAAGGAAGGAGGGAGAATATCCGGTGCTAACTGTTAGGCAATAAATGTATGTTACATGCAAATTCGTAACCAGGAAATTTAAGAGAAAGATGACAATAAAACGACGACAAGTGGTGCTTCATTTACCCAACGCTCTCCTTCCTATCTTTCTCCTTTATTTTAAAATTGTAAGCGAACAATTTAATACCTTTTTAATTTATTAAAACATTAACAAACAATGATTTTGTTTTTTAACAAAAAAGAAAAGTTTGTTAAATAGCTTCGTTATCAGTGTGGGTTAGACTTTGCACAGATCATTATAAATTTCGCATAAGTTAAAACTAGATATAAAATTCAGAATGTTTTCGCTAAAACTTTCAATAAATTCAGAAAATTTTTCAACAGTTTGACGAGTGAAAAACGAAGGGAAACATGAATTGGTTAAATTCATTAGCGTTATGTGAACTAATAACATAAACCATTCAGACATGATTCGCAGATACTTTTTTGTTTTTCAAAATACGTAAAATGATAAACATTTTTTTCAAGGCCTATTAAGTTTATCAAGTTTGGCAGAAATTTTTAAAATCATTCATACACTTAACTAGTTTATATTAATATGAGCAAAGTTTTATAGACTCAAAACAAGAATAAATGATTGGCAGTGACAGAGGGAAACAAAAAATTTAGGTAATATTCGATAGTAGCTAAAGAGGCTGATTTTGAAAGTTTTTAATAGCCAAACTTTAAAACAAAGAAATTACTGGGTAACTAAAAGGTATAAAGAAAGAAAGGAAAATATGATAAACCTTTCTAAATAACCAATATTCTCATTACCTTCGCCTGTCCGTTTCTAATCCCTTTTCATTCTGGCTAGTTTAAAATAATTTATTTTACAAATAAAAACATATAGCACTTACTCGAATACACTGCTCTTTCCGTTCCACGAAAGTCTCGTAATGTTCGTGCAGTTCCAGTAATAAGCATTTTTGCTGTGATAACATTTCAGTGTTACGTAACTGCAAACAACAACATAAAAGATAATGGGAAATAATGGAATGAAATAGACTGGAAATGATTACGGTAAAATGAAGTTATTACCATGACATAATTATAGTAGCAGTAGCTATTTCTCAAAACCTTAATAGATTTTTCATTTGTTTTCGCTTTACAATTTTAGCTCAATTTTAAATAACATTTAATCAAATACTTCGAAATATGAATTCCATTCCGGGAAGATTCTATACAAAACATAAATGATTTCCGGAGCGTTTCTACCCTCCACTGCCTTCAAAAAAAAGGATTACAGCGTTTCCGGAAATCTACTACCGAAAGTACAGTATCTCTTCCGAAGTCCAAAACCCTTTTTTGCAGTTATCTTATCTGATTGAAGCACAAAGCATTGCTACCGCATCTTTAACAACTATACTTCCAATAATAATACCATTCTTATTCTTTGTTAAGTAATAAACAAAATCTACCGTCGTTTATAAAAATTTCGCATAAAATTATTAAAATTCTCGATTTAGAACCACTTTAAATATATTTAAGAAATTTTAATCATTTTCGACCAGAAATTTCACTTTTTTTAATGTTTTCCAAATATTTGAAAGCTTTTCAAATGTAAATTTGTTAGAAAAAATATTATTGCATAAGATGTGGGAAGATTTTGTCAACTAATGCGAGCATGATAGTACGTATATATTCCGCCATGTAAATCTTAAAAAAAGAAAAAATTGTTTACTTCCTTATATGTGGTAATGCTATAGCATATGCAATGTGATAATAGTTGGTAACATAATCGCGGTAAGCTCCTCTTAATCGTGAAAAGTATTTGATGTTTGCGCAATTGAAGTATCCACGCATGCTTCAAATGTAGTGCCAAAATGCAAGACGCATGCTGGATTCAAATTTCGGTTGATTAATAAGGAGCTCAGCCTCCCTCTCCCTGTTCCTCTTCCTCTTCCCTTATATCCTTTAACTGTTAAATCATCAACAGATTGCTTTTTACATATGGTTTTAAGTATAATAAGCATACAATTTGAGAGGTGATGGTTAGTTTCCATCCTCAGTATTAATGTGCAATTATTATGACTACTAACAAGGATAATGATGAAGATAGGGACCAGCTGTGTAGAGTAAATATATTTCAATAGGAAGACAATTTTAACAACCGATTCACTAAGTAAATTAAGATAATAAACTGTCTCGGTTATAAGAAATACACATGGATTTCGGCTTACTCATTTAACTACTTCGTAGTAGTTGAAATTATGGCCTACACCTTCGCAGTATGCCATTTTTTAATAACTTTTAAATAAAATTATATCTAAGACCAATCTGAAATTACTGTAAACCAGATTTTATTTGCTGTCATTCTAAGATAATTTAATGTTCCTTAAACAAAAGATTTTAAAGATTTTAAAAATGGAAAGTGAAATAGAACATGTCAATGAAAATAGTCAAACAACTACCTACACCTAATACTGACCCTATTCAACTGAAAACTACTCCATAAAATAGACTAGTTATAACTAAATTATTCAAATTTTATGCCAAAATATTCCCATCCTTCTTGAGCATTGTTTCACTAATATTTAATTTCTGAATAAAATTTAGTAAAATCAACGTACATATTGAGCCGTGACGAATAAAAATGGACAATCGAAAATTTTAAGGACAAGATCCAATGCATCACTGAATTGAACAGAGATCTCGTGATGCGATGTGGAAAACACTTGCGATGCATCTCGTAATATACCGGATAATTTTAAACAACATTCCTAAAAATTTGATGTATTAGCCAAAAGAAGAAAAAAATTCCTGTCTAATTTAATTTATCTTATGTGGCATTATTCTTGATAAGATTTCAGACTTTTGCATATTCATTTCAATGTATTTTTTCTCATTTTTGATATTCGGGGGACATATATGCATGTGGAAGACAAAATATAAAAACTTGATTAACACCTGCTTTAAATATTCTTTTTCCAGTGGCATAAGAGATATCGTACAGGTAATTTGATAATGAGTAAGTACTTTCATATTTATTTAACTTATTCCATCAGAAGTAATGGACAGTGAAATTGATATTGGTCATTTTGAATGGATGAAGTCAAGCGATTTGCTGTATGATTTATTTGCTTAACACCACCGTGCAAATGAAGCGATAGGATATTTCTCTTATTTCTACTTTGTAATGTGATATACCGAGAAATTATAATGCAGATTAAAATCTTTAAGCGTTTATTTTGCAATTTTTTGATAAAATTATATGTAAGGGAACGAAAAAACATGATACTGAGATTTTATAAAGTTAAAGTTTTCAAGTTTTAGTAGCAAATGCGCAAAATTATTCCCAAAATTATGAGTGAAATTGATAAAATGAGCGAAATTATCCCCATATCTAGTTTAGTATCCTAAATTGCTCCCTTACTATCGTGTCCTAAAATATCTCAGACTATTGTTCGAAATTTAGCAAAATGCGTGATATATATCCAAAATATAGTTTGCTATCCCTAACTTTACAGTTATACATATAACTTGTACCATTTCATTGATTTGTTGTTGTAGATTTAAGCAGTTCTCCAATCTTAAAATGCTTCCGCACACTTTCTTACGCGCGGATGGAATTTTCTTACGCGGCGAATTTAAATATATATCCCTTCAAAGTCTTTTATTGTCCTCAAAAAGAAATTTTAAAAAATGACTTACCCGATAAAGTTGGGTGAAAACTAAAGTCGCATGTGCCGTCAAATCGCCACTTTCATCGACACTCAAATCAGCAAAACTTAAGAGCCATTGATGTTCACCCTTGAAAATTTTACAAATATAAGTAGAGTATAACATCTGACAACATCGATCACAACAAATTTTATCGGAAGTTATGCCAAGTATTCATTTTGTTGGCAGTAAAATGCGATCGATTATCCATTAATAAATCAATTCTCATGTAAAATCTAGCAAGTTCTGTCTCTAAAAAATAAAAAATGCTCTAAATTATGATGAGTTATAAATGCAAACTGGTAACAATTATTGAAACTAATTAATTAGATTTAATTTGTACAAAAGATCAAAATTAAATAATAGATCGAATTGTAACACAGATAAATATGAATAATAAATATGATGTAATTATGTAATTCCAAGTATGAATGAATTCGATTTCTAGTAAATTTAGATGGTAAAATATGAAATTGAAAATCAACAAGATAAATATCACAAAGAATTCCAAAATAGGACGGAAACATATGACTCACTTGGGCTGAAGCATGATGATTACATTGCAGAAATAAAGAAGGTCGTTTCAGCGATACATTTTCCACAGATGTTACCGAATGGCTACATCGAATAGATTCTGCTAACGATGACATATCTGCTATTCTGTAAAAAACCATTACTTCAGTTAGTTTCCGAAATCTAATAGTTAATGAGAAATTTCGTGAGAGTACTTACCGAAGCTTTTCGTCATTAACAGTAAATTCATCTAATTCTTCATCACAACTTTCTTCTTCGGAAACAGTTTCGCTACGAATTTCTGACTGTAGTGGCGTCCTTTCGCTTGATACTTCCAATGAGTCAGAAGCTGCAATCGGGAAAATTTATGACTAATGTTGGTTACAAATGTACAAAGGTGTGGATAAGGGAAAATATATCTACAAGCGCTAACCTGCTGAGGATGGGCGCTGATCACCAGCAATCTCGGTACATTCATCATCCTGATACTGTTCTTCAACATTTATGCCAACTTTACTTATGGAATGTGGCCGTATCGTTGAGAGCCAGTTAAAACATGATTCTGTCGATTCCGATACAGTATCATGTTCCGCTTCCAAGAAATCAAATTCACTACAATAAGCGTTATGATTTCATTGTGCGACTTAACAGATTTTAATTTCTTTTGTATGAGGAAAATTTGAATGTTTTTTTTCTAATGCAATTAAAATTCAATCCAATTGCAAAGATTGAATTACCGGAATACTCGAGGAAAAGAGTTGGTAACAGATTGATCGACTACCAATGATGATGCTGATTCGCCGTCACCCACATATGATGGTGAAATCCTTTCTGTTGAGGTGGAATTTGAATTCGGTGGTTCATAGGAAATATCATGCAAAGATTGTGAGAAAATTATCGAAGCACTTTTTGGCAAACCAACACGAAGTCCAGAAGCATTCAGCAAACTGATCAAACGTTCTCGTACTTTCGTCTTCAAATTCAGTTATGCTTTAATTTCAAATTGAAATTTGAAGTTAATTCAAAATTCGAATACGGTGATAAATGACTGGAAACATTGCAAAATTCATAAAAATAAACCTGGTTACATGTAGTGTGTTTTCGCAGTGATATTGTTTCCGGAGTACTTTTATGCGCAGTTGAAGGTGAAGGTATAAAGCAACCACGAAGTGGAACTTCCAACTGGAGCCCTTCTGGTCGTGCAACCTCGTCTGATTCTGGTCCATCCTGAATTAAACAAATAAATTGCTTATTGTTGTTCTGAGTACGGCAGAATCATTTTACAGCCGTATTATTGCATAATTTATAAGTGATCACATGATAATTGAGAGATCGTAACACACAAGAAGTTTCAGTCTTAATTACTAAAAAATGAAAAGATTGAACGAATCAACATATTATCATATCAAAATTTAATCAGAATTTCGTCTCAAATTCTATTGCAATAATTAAACTTAAATTCAGCAAATTAGTAAATTTAAAAATTCCGCAACTAAATTATTAAATAATTTGAATTATATATCAATTAATTTTATAAAGTAGTGTAGTTGAAAATTTATTTTTTTTAAATTACAGCACATGATTGGAATCATTATAGTAATCTCTTCATTTTCTCAGATGATCCTTATGTATGGTTACTCCTAAATTCTTCAGATTATTGCGCAAAGGATCAAAGGCTTTCTCTAGTCGTATTCCGATAATTATCGTAGCTTTTGCGGAAAGAGATGAGGAAAACATATGTAAATGGAAAAGATATTTTTTTCAGGGTCATTTGAATCGAACAAATGAAATAAAATAAAATAGGTAAATCGAAATAATTCATACCGAGATGTGACCATCGATGGCAATACTGTCATATTGCACAAAACACTTCAGAATCCTCGAAGCATCTTTCCAGTTTGGACCCTAATAGTTCGCATATGTTAAAGTTAGATATTGTGATGGGAAGTATTGACAATAGAAAGGATTCAATATCTTCCAATAATGAATTAATAATAATAATACTATTTTAATCCAACTCAATTTCGGCTAAATCCAAGTTTAAATTTAAGTAATCATTTACAATTACAGTAAGAATGACAAAACTATTCTAAGCATCACCAAAGACCAATAAGTTTAAAATAGAAAAGATACGTCAAAACTTTCTTTTAAATTGAGATCAAAAATTGAAAAAGAGTGGATAACCTGTATATGCTTCGATATAACTCGTACAACCTGAAAAGCAAAAAAAAAGATGAAATTGCTAAAATTAGATTTATTGGTTTCAAGTTGCAAATTTTTCGTAATTCATTCCATCACTGAATTAAGTATGCAACATTTGGCAATAATAAAAATAGCATCTTGAAGACTGATTGGATAGTTTTATGAGTGATATAAAACGTCTATAACAATTCAGAAAATAGATCATTGAAAGATGATACCTCAACGGCAGACGAGGGACAATTTCAGTTCAATTGCGGGTAACGTTCAAAGAGATGATTTCACGGTAAGGAGAATGAATAAGCTCCCGAAGAATCATAATATGTTGGTAGATGGGTTATTAAAATGACATTAAATTTCAGAGAATATAAGGAATTGCCTCGCCGGTGTATGGTTTTGTTAGTCTCCAAAAGAAATAAGAGAGAAATAATAATAAAGTAAAGCTGCTATAGATGAAATTGATATTTGCTCGTGGGAATAATCATAAAACTGACTTATGATAATTATTTCCAATTGCGAATGCAAGAAAGGCGTAGAACTTTCAAAAATTTCTTAATATGAAACAACAACTTTTTATTTCTCCTAATAATCAAGCCTTTTTCTAAAGAAAGCGGTTGTTATAGTAATGGATAAACAAAAACAAAATAACATCATATTATTGAAAATTAAATCCAAAATAAATGTAAAATTCAAGTTTAAACTTCACTTTCCATTAAATTTCACTTGCTTTTTTCCCTAATCTATTTTTATTCATTTAAGGGATTTGAATGAGCCTCTGTCAATAATACGTTAAATGTTTCATTTTGTGTTATCAACAATATCACATACATGTAACATACTTCCTCAACACAATCGACTAATCATCTACATGTATTGGTTGATTAAGTTAATATAGCATGTCCGAACCTCTCTGCAATTTTGTTCATTTCTTCGTTTTAAAATATGTTATCTTTTCGTTCGATTGTATGAATAAAATAATTTACTTGTTGACAGATGTCCTTCGGACTATGAGTCTTGTAGACAAACAAAAGCACAAAGGAAACTATTATAAGGAACTTTTAAAAATCTGTCGTCTTAGAGCATTAAATTTGTGTGCAAAAGTATTTAAGATAAATCTTTAATTGGTGACGAAAATCACACACACACACATACACACACACACACAAGTAGATACAAAGACATTTACACTGAAACATTATAAAAATTTTTCAAGGATAGATTGTAATCAGCAATTTCTCAGACGGATTTTCAAAGGGAAACGATTATTTTAGTGCGGCTCAATCAAACATGCATGACTGAAACATATGGTGAAAGAATTAGTGGACAATAACAAGAAAAAAGAAAGGAAGTGAAACTAAAATTCATTACAACAGGTGCATATATTTCAACTAACTCACAAAGAACAAGCAATTAGCACTTTATACCTTACTGATAACAATCTTCGTTGATAAATGAATTTTTGCCAGGCTGGTAAACTTTCGAAATAATGAGAAATATAATTTAAGACATACATTATCTTTCTATCCAAAAAATGATTTGAATAACAGCAAAAATTTTATTTTGTTTTTCATGACTTAAGTATGCCGTATAAATCCTCTTATTTATTATTTTCAGATATAAAAAAACATTATCAGAATCAAAAAATAGGATTAGGAACGAAAACGGATCAAGCATATAAATATGCATGGAAAAAATTAAGCAATCTTAAATTACTTTAATTTTTTTAAATCCGATATTACTTTTCCAAATATAACAAAAATGCAGCAGTCGAAAGATAATAAAATACTGTACAAAAAGAAAGGGAAAAATCTCTGCAAAAAATTGAAAAAAGAGGAGACAGTGTAATGAATAAATTCTGAACCACATGCACGTCGTACAAAAAGCTTTCATAATTTACGAAAGGAATTTGAAGAAATTCAAGGGTCATGGATATTAGATATATCATTTAGCATAAATCTTGTATGTAAAATTATTTTGGAGATAGTTTCTTAATCATAAGTTCTTTATATCCTTTTTGGTTTAATCAGTCGTTATTCTTTGTCATAAAGCTTTGCACGAGTAGTTATGAACTCTTTCCTAGTAATTCTATCCAATCGACACTTTTCTAATTATAATACCAATGATTTCAATTGATCCTTTCAATTAATATAAATAAATGTAACATAAACATAAGCATAAAATATGTAAGCAATAAAGAAAAATTACCTGAGCATTTATGGATAGTGGTGAACATTGTGATAAATCAGCATTACTAGCTAATAAGTACAAGCAAGATAATATGTAAGTATGCAAAGATGCCACACTTTTTTCCAACATCTGCAATATGTCATAACTGTCACAATAAATCCAAGCCGTCATCTAATTTAATTGCACCTAGTCAAAAAAATTGATCACTAATAATAACAATGCACAACTTATTATTTTCTTGTTAGAGTATTAGGGAAGTATTAGGGGATTATGCTTGTTGTGTTTATGCAAACTTCAAAAGAAAAAAATGCAAATTCTGGATTTAGCATGTTAGAGAATTTTATGATTGGAAATCTAATTTGCACTTGCTATTTTTAATGGAACGAAACATTTCGGACACTGATAAAAGTCATTTCCAAAAAATGCATAAGTTAAACTTTACATAAGTTCCACTTTTCCCATAATTCGGACAATACTTTTTTGTCCTTTATAGTAATCTCGCAATTCGAATTATTTTAGTGTAATGAGATTAAATTGACGGTTAAGCTTATGCAGTTTTTTTTTTGCTTTAATCTCTGTTTCAACGTTTTAGTGATTTATGATGTAGACAATTACCATGCACTACCGAAATGAATATAATGAAATGCCACGACTAAAACGTGAAATGAGAGATAGAATTCGGCAACAGCAGTAACGTCACGTAAACTTTCTATCCTCTCTTTCCTTTTTTTATTGTTCCGATCCTCGGGGAAACCTAGACACAAATCAAAAAAGAATATGTCCCTAATTATTTTAGGACAATATGCGAGATAATTGAGTGTGTAGAATCGCAATTGCTTATAATGATGATTTGTGTCATTGCTATTGGTCACAATCATCCATCCTAAATCGATCTCAATCCTAACTTCATGTTATTATTATTACCAGTCCTTAAATATGGGTTTTCCAATATTATGCTATATGCCGCCATAGAAGTTCACAAAAAATGGGACCCTTAGGCGGTCACATTATAAAATCATGCATATCAACACATCTTTTTTCTCAATCTATCATATTAAACATGCATAACGCTGTAGCGGTATCAATGAATCATATATATACGCAGTCGTAATCGGTCAAACAATACGTCTTGATGATAAGCAACAATAGAATAATTTAACCCTAAACGAATGATAAAAATAACAGTGCCTCGTAATTGTACGAAGCATTACTGAAATCATCAAATGAAAATATTACTACTAAAATCATGAAATGCAGACAATGCTCAAAAATTGTTATATTTAACTATTTCGGACTTTGAAGTTCAAATATTTGACTTTTTCGACTTCAAAAATAAATTTTGATGCCGAATTTGAGTAGTTAACTTTTATTTTGAAACCACAGATTAAAGAAAATACATCTAAATTTAAATCTACCTTATCGCTACTGTCGACCTTGATGAACCGCAGAAGATATGCAATTATTGAAATGTTCAAAAATCATGCAAATATAACTAGCTAAAACAAAATAGTCAAAATAAGTAACTATATTCCTCAGACAAAATTAGAAAGAATTACTAACCTCAGCAAGGAAGACGAAAAGCTGAGTATGATCCGGTGTTAAGCCATCATACATATACTTGAATACACATTTTGCCCACTGGAAACGATCACGTGGAAAACAACGTTCGGCGTATTTGTACATCATCTAAAATTGAATTAAACTAGCAAAAAATCCAAACAACTTTTGACAAAATATTGCTTCAACAGATGAGAACTTACAGATGATAAATGAGCAAGTGGATTATCGAGTGACTGTTCCTCCGTTTCGGTTATTCGTTCCGAAAGAAACTGAAATAAAATGTTCCTGTTTTATAAAAGTTTTTTTAATTTAAAATAAATTCCCTCATGATAAACAGTAGCACAAATGGTCTAACCAGAGAGTGGATTTATATAAATAATTCATTGTTAAGACTAAAAGAATGGTTATGTCATTGCCAAGAAATAAAAGAGTTTAAATAAAAAATTTGAAATTCCATTGTTATCATAATTAGCATTCATCATATATTCCTACTGAAACAAATTTCTGATTCATAACTACTAAATCTCCAACAATAAGTCGAGATAAATGAAAAATTACGCCATTGAATTATTAGCTCTAACTGAAATTCGGCTCACAATTCCTAAATATAGCATAATGATTATGACAGCAATATGAATTTCATGATTTTCACTGAAAATTCGAATAAAAATATTGCGTAGCTTTAAAATACTATCCACTTTTCATATTTAATAACATTCTATGTATGAGCAATACACAATACTTCAAAAATGTGATCAACATGCCTCAGTCAGCTTTCTGGTAATCGAAAAGCAGAGTAGTGTGGGCGTTTCAAAATTAAGCAAAAGTAATGGCATGGATGAAGTAATCAGTAAAGAAATTAGATTGCATGGTCCCATTGCTGGTTCATCTATCATATCCAGACATTTCAGTAGCAATGACAAGGACAGCTCATAACCTGATTGTATCGTTGCACCTAGAAGTTCCACAGCTGCATAAAGTTGAATCAGACACAATAAAAAGCTAGTATTATTTTTGGTACAACTACAGTGACTTCACTTTGTAATAGTCCATGTCGATATATAAAATGATCGAGGCAAATTACCTCTCAACTTTTAGATCCTAATTCAAGTCCAAACTCGAATAGTAAGAATCTGAAATTCGATTTAGCATACCTACGTATTACAATGTATAAAAAATATCATAGTGATTTATGCTGCCAAAAAGAATAAGGAATGAGTTACTAATCAAAAAGATTCAATAAGTTCTTAAAGAATAATAAAAGCATTTACGGATAAATTTACCTTTCATGATTAAACCAGCCAAACCACTATAATTTTTCCAATCTAACTGCGATATTGTTTTTGATAAACGCTGCAAGCACAATATCTTATCTGAAGCTGCTGCATCAAATACCTGCAAAAAAATGCACAAATTTTTTAATAAATATTTCGACATTTTTCACAATACATCTTTCACAATAATAGATTACCTATTCTTTAAAATAAACTGGAAAAATTATAATAAGATTCAATCAGATGATTTCACAGCCTGAATTTATGCTAAGTAATAGTATTATCTAAATTTAAGTGATCGAATAATAGTGAATGAAATAAAAGTAATATTATTAGCCTGCTAGTTAACAGTTGGGTAATATCACCACTGTACTGCTCATGAACTGAGTATACCATTATCGGTAATTTGCAAATTGATATAACTGGATAACTAAACTTGAAATTAAGGAATTCCAACATTTCATGGATTCAGATATTTAGGAATTAGTGGTAAAAAAGTCAGCGGTGTCAAACCGATATCAGAAGCATATTAGGAGGGAGATTCTGGCAGAGTTCACAGCTTGAGAAAAACAGAATTTAAAAAAAAAAAAAAAACAGGAACTAGATAATTAATAAACTCAGTACATTGCCATAATTTACCAACACCTGCGATTTATACTATGAGTTCATGAAATTTGAAAGACCCTTCGTTCCGTGATCCAGAATTCTGCCTCCTCTTAAGAGCAGTATGGAATATTGAAAGTAACCTTATCCAACAAATGTAGTGCGAGCAGATATTCGTTATCAGAATTTGATTCAAGCATCGCAACAGCAATTAAAAATAACCGACAAAGAGTTAAGAAATCTTCTCCAACACCAGCATCCATAGTTTTTAATGCTGTTGCACTTTTACTTCGACTTAAACCTGCCGGTATTTCTCGTTCATCAGTTATCAAAACTGAATGTCGTATATCTAAAAAATATTTGTGCCAACAAATCTTATGAATCTGATAAAATTAACAAATTTTTTTAATCATTATTAAAAAAGTAAGATCCACAAGTCTCGTCGTATAGAACTCTTGAACTAGCCTGCTAGTTAACAATTGGATAATATCATCACTGTACAGAACTGATTGATATCATTATCGATAATTTGCAAATTGATATAACTGGACAACCAAACTTGAAATTAAGAAATTCTAATATTTCATGAGTCTGGTGAACATCAAGTGAGCGGTGTCAAATCGATATCAGAAATATATTAGGTAGGGGATTCTTTCTGGAAGAGATCATAACTCATAAAAAATGTTGCATTTATGAGTCCATGAAATTTGAAAGGATCTATGTTCTGTGATCCAGAATTCTGCTTTCTCTTAAAAACGTATGAAATATTAAAAGTAACATCTTATCCAACAGATGCGACCAGATACTCGTTATCAGAATTTGATGTTAATGCAGTCAAATTCTGATGAGTTTCAGACGACGAGACTTGTAGATTTTTATAATAACGAAAAGAAAAATTCGTTAATTTCACCAGATATATGAGGTTTGATCACATGAGCAAGTGGAGTATTTTTTAAATGCATTACAGATTATGACAAAAGAATATGATGGCAGAATCACTGAAAAAAGATAGAACATTAGAACTGTCAAAAATTTGGTCAGTCACGTAAAAGGAAGATTTTCACAACAGATAATGCAAGCTTCTTTTTCTTTTAAGAAATTCACAAAAATGGCACATCAAGGATGTCATTCTACTAGTTCTGAAAGACGCAATGTAATAGATGAGTAAGAAGTCCAAGTAAGTGCATTAGATTTTAATTATGAGTTAAATTAAAAGAAACCTTTCCGTTCACGAGTTGGTGATAGAACAGTTGAAGCAACAGCATTTGAAATCTGATGCAGTACAGCAGGTGTATAGGAAGTGGAACGTGTATGAGTATGACACTGCAGAATATTTGGGGCATGAGGCATTAAAACCAAATGAGAAACAGCCATTTGGAGACAAAGCATTATATCTGTTACATAAGATTGGGTGTCTTCATGTGGCTCACCAACCGTTTCCGCTAAACGTGACAAAATATTCGGAATCCACGGTGATGGTGACTGAAATTATGAATACTCTTGGTTGCAAATTTTAAAATTCTAAAAAATTTTCCTATTCGAAATTTTCATATATCATATGGACAAACCTGACAAAGAGCCGAATAAATTTGGAAGCAACGACCAGCAATATGCCGATTTGAAGTTGATAAAGCCATTCCCATTGCTAATTGTGACCAACGCAATGCCAAACTTGGATTTGCTTCAATCAAGAGTTCAGCTAGATGACGTATCATAAATCCTAGCTGTGCTGCACTTTCAATCCGCCACTGTCGTGATGTCACATCTTCGTTAGCAAAAAGAGGTTTATCCATTCTAAAAATTGCTGATAATATGAAAGAAAATGGTTTGAAATATGTGGAGAATGCTGAATTTAAAGTTTAAAAAATAAGGCTTCAAGCGTGATTGGTGATACATTCCTAATCTACTTCATCCATTAATTTGTAAATTGTGAAATATATCTAAACAAAGAGCGCTTTAAAAAACTGAAAACCGTATTTTTGTGTTTTTTCTAGCTAAATTTTTTAATAATGATTCTTTTGCACGGTATTCTAACTATCATTTTAAATATGAAATAACTTTTTCAATGCCCTGATCATATGCTTAACAGTATACTAAAATTTGAGGTGAAACTTCATACTATACATTGTGTTTTTCTCTTACAAAGCAATCATCACTGATCCCCTATCTTACCGAGATATACAATTTTCAATATGGAATGACTTATTTTTAGCATAATTAGTATATTATTATTATATCCTTAACATCATAAGTTCATATGCGAAACTACAATGTTGCTTCAAAAATTTCTGACAACCAAATACTTGCAAAATCATACAGTATATTAAAACAGAACTAACTTCTCAGACATACAACATACGAATGCTTGAATCAAATCGGCCGCTGTACTAAATGAAGCATTACTGCTTAGCAGCATTCGTTGATATTCATTACACCTCACAGTTGAAAAAGTAGGTGTGTCACCATGCGCGATACTATCTGTACGACTATCATCACCATTCGATACGATGCTTATCTGATCCGCCCAATTTATCTGAAATTAAATTCAAAAATATAATTCAAAGAAATAATTATCGCATAATTATTACCACACTATGCACGATTGGAAAGATATGAAAAGTTATGATAATGATGATATTAACTTGTTTAAAGCATTTGATTTCGCGACCTCTTTGTAATTTAATTAATTAGTCTAATAAGTTTGTTGCTCTTCGAGTAATCCATGTTACATATAAGTTTTCAGTTATAATCTTTTAAGAGGTGATAAAAGAATTCTAGAAAGTCAAGATTCACTTGGAAATTTTCAAATAACTAATATCGCAGAATTTGCAAGTATGCTATATAAACCTGATTAGTAAGTAAGATATTTGACAACTGTGATGCAGGGACGATTTCACCAGCTTGCAACAAAATAATATTGATGATAACTTGTCGTGAATGACGACATATTGGTGGACGTAATGAATCCAATCCTAGGATAGCAATATGTAACAACAATGGTATGTGATCACACCACTCTTCTGACGAAGGACATCGTAACAAATCCGTGACATGTAATAATGCCAAATTGCTCCTGAAGATCAGTATGATGACATCAAATAACATTCAAATTTCGATCGATAGAAGTAAGTTATTGACTGTTTCGCTAAAAATCTCCTATTAAACTATACAGAAACGTGAGGCCCCGAAAAAAACTTAATGAAGCAGATTAAAACCGGTCAAAACGTATCAGAAATATGCCTAATGCATAAAAATAAATTTAAAGAATGGCAACAAAAAAAACGAATAACAAAAAACGATTCCACCTCGTAAATGAAAATACAGGTTGAGTAGTGGGTGGCAGAAAAGACGAGAGCTTCGAGTAGTGGCCTCCATAAGCAGGCATTGGCAAATCATGAATGCTGCTAACAGTGTCTTCATCTGATACATTGATCTGAAAAGGCAATTAGCTTTATAAAAATAAGAAAAGAAAGAACTTACAGGAAACTAGTATGAGATTTTAGAAAGAAAGCATGTTAACTAGATGTAAGGAAAAAGCAGCTCAATTTGACTTCAAGAAAAAGAAACAACCGATTAAACTGGATTTTGTAGGAAAGTAAATGCGATTACAGGATCTCTGGAATAACTTCAAAAGAAAGCTAAATAAAACACATTTTAATGAAAGCCTTTGCAAATTTCAAAATAAATCCATAAATCTACTCTAAAATGCAAAAGGACAGAAATAAAACCTTCAATGGACTAGCGGATTCTGTTTCGGCAGTACATATACCGGTCTCCTTCATTTTTGTTATTATTTGTTTTTCATATGGTGTTTCCAAGATATTCTGGAAACGGTAGAATGGTGGCATTTCACATCGTTCC